GCTGGTTCTTTTGCATGAACATCTTATAGCTTTCTCCAGATCCCTGTGTGTACTGTAAACTGTGTGGGTAATCAATCCACTCAACAGTTACTACTTTTCCCTTCCTTTCTTCATTCATCTTAGCTGTATGCATCTAAGCATATAATTCTTCATTACCACAGATTTGCTAGCATCTATATTCACCTATGGAACATTTTCTTCTTTGTTTATACAACCACAATAAGAACAGTTACTTCAGAAATAAAGTGCTATTTCTGTGCAATGCTACCAAAAAATCAAAACGGAAACAAAACCAAATAAGCAAACAAATGACAACAAAACCCTTACTCTTTTTGTTGTTTGCTTTTAAAGCATAATGGAAAGCCATGTGGTGCCGGCACAGGAATAACAAACCTATAAACAGAACAGAATAACCAGTGTATATGTGGACCATGGGACTTACAAACAACATAATTTCAAGGTACTGCCAGCAATTAATGGGAGGGATGAAGTATTCAGTATGTGATGTTTGGAACACTCATTTGGGGGAAAAAATCTATCATCTATCACCATCTTGTACAATACACCAGAAATACTTGTGGACTTAAGAGATAGAAAAATGGAAACAAGAGGAACAAAACTCAGGTTCAAAGATTTTCTAATCGTGAAAGCCATGCAAAAATATCCAAGGTTGATGGGAGATGTCATTCTGTAAATCTGTCTCCTATTGGTTGTTGAATAAAGCACTGTTGGCCAATAGGGAAGCAACATAGGTGGGACTAGGAGTCAAGGAGGATTCTGGGAGAGGCAGATTCTGGGAGAGTCGCCAGAGTAAGAGGTCCCGACCCTTTTTCTGGTAAGAGAAATACTTAGGTTTACAATTATGGGTTAAATACTTAAGTCAGAGCTAGCCAGTAAGAAACAAGCAAACAAACGGCCAACAGCTTCATAATTAATATAGTGTCTTGTGTGTTATTTGGGGGCTGAAACTGAAGCAGGGCCCAGGCGGCTGGCAGGGAATACTATACATTACACAAGGTAGTTAATGAACAGAGGACCCAAGTCGTGTGAATGCTGTCACTAAACTTCACAAAGACAGACTGAAGGAGACCCACTGTGCAGGCTTCCTCCCGGATCCAGATTAGGCACAGACCACACCCAAACACCTGTTTTCACAGAGAGATTCTTTATTAACTGGGGAAGAAAAGTTAAAGTGGCTGCTTTCTGACTCAGGCAGAAAAACAGCAGCAAATGACCTTGAAAGTGTCATTTTCAAGAAGAGAAAGAGGGGAGGTCTGTGTTAGAATGGGCTAGGATGCAGTGGTAAAGGAGATAGGGAACCAGGGAAAAGGGGAAGGGGACAGGAGAAAGGGGACAGAGGTATTTGTCCCAAAGGGACAAAGGACTGCCTCTGGATGGGGAGGAGATGTTTTTTTTATAAAGGTTAAGGGGGAAACCCCATGTTAAGAGGAGGTGTTTAATTTTAATAGGGCATGTCAATTAGGTAAACCAAGGGGGGCTTCTGTGTTGCTGGAGTTTCTTCTGCCTATCTTCAGCCCCAAATAAGCACACAGAGACATATATTAATTATAGAACTGTTGGACTAGCTGTCATACCCTTTCTTACAAATCTATGTACTTTCACGTTGTCTTGGCTTACCAGAGAATGCCCGGACCTGTCCTTTGGTGTCTACATGGCATCTCTTTTGGGGTGTCTCTCTGCCTACCTTTCCCAGAATTCTCGTCTCCTAGCCCCACCTATCTTCCTGCCTCTATTGGCCAAACAGTGTTTTATTCATCAACCAATTAAAGAAGCATATATACAGGTCATCCCCCATCACTTCTGATTTCAGGACCTTGGTAGTCAGCCTCAGTAGGAGAAAGTGGCCAAATAAGAAAATAGACCTTAGCGGTTAGTTTTAGGAATGTAATCTAAGCTTTTTATCAAGGCAGAGGGAATGGGGGAGAAGGCCTGCCAGAGCCACATGCTCCAGTGGGCCTGTGTCCCTTCACAGACTAAACAATTAATTGAGGAAAATGCATGCTGTAAACATGAATTCTTCCTTATATAAAAAATCTTCAAACAAATAAAAATGCTAGGGCCCCAAAGGAGAATAGGAAAAGGATAGTTAAGTCACCAATGGGGAAGTGCAGTAAAAATGGGAACTCAACTGTTTTTCTCTATGATTTGAAAGGCTAAAACAACAAAAACAAACAAACAACAACAAAAACCCAACCTTCTGTGCTAAAAAAAAAAAGTCATGTTGGGTGCTCTAGCTGTTGAAGGGAACATAAACTTGCCCAAGCTGCTGGAGAGCAATTTGTCATGCCACATGCCTAAGAATATAGATAACCCTGTGCCAGTGTTTCTACCTACAGAACCCTTAAGATTAGATGCTGTCAAAACAGTAATGTCCATTGTTCACTGCAGCATGGCTAAGAAGGAATGGGAATAAAACCAAGTTTCAGTAACAGCAGTCTCTATGCATTATCAAATGCTTTCATTGGCTTGAGTAGGAAAAATGTGTTCAAAAAGGGAAATGTGAAGTTTGAAGACCATAGTGAGAAGGCAGGGGTGAAACTGGGCAGCAGTACATGTGTGTTATGTAATACATGTTATGCAAAATACAAAGGAAATAAATGCACAGGATGCCAACAGGATGTTCCTTGAACTGATGGGTTGTGGGGTGTATTTACTTTCTGTAGATCTCTGTTAATCCATAGTACTATTGTAGGAACAGTAAATGCTGCTTTTGAATAGAATTATGAAACAATAAACTATAAAGGAACTTTTTTAAGTTTCCCATAACCATCACCAATCATGAGCTAGTAGAAAATGTATTCTCTTCTAGATACTGGTAAATCTAAAAAATACATCTTATACCCAAAATCCCTAAGAGTATGTGATGTAGTCCCCCCCCCCCAAACGCCACCTCCACCTGGAACTTGCTATGTAGAGTAGGATGAGTTCAAACTCAGAGATCTGCTTGCCTTTCTCCTAGGTGCTGGAATTAAAGGTATGTGCCAACATGCTGGGTACACATCTCTATTTATTTATTTATTTATCTCATGAAGGAAGCTCCGGGTTTGGCTGTGAGCAACACATGAGGGGTGGTTTTGAAAATCAACATATTTAATTATTTATAAAAGTTATTCCAGAGCCTTTCAATCAGAAGTGTGTAAACTGCAATGTGGTGGTACAGATCTGTAATCTCAGCACTTGGGAGGTGGACAGAGGAGGATCAGGAACTCAAAGCCTGCTCAGACATGTGTCTGAGGCCAACCAGGGCTATGTTAGTCTTTATCTCAAAAACAAAAGCAATACTCACAACTGTGTATGGTTTGCAGGGTGGAAGCACAGTACCCCAGATCCTATTCTAGACTCACTGATTCTCATTCTGCATTTTCATAAACTCTCCAGTTGGTATGAGGTTTGTCCCTGACCCAAAACTCTTATATGTCTACATTGTGACTGAACCTTAATCTGTTTTTATACCCTAAGATTGTAGCCAACCCAGAGGCATTTCTATGGCTATGTATGAGCTTTAAATATTGTGTTACAAGGCAGCAGTAATGAATGCTGTTATGTTCTAAAAATCTATAGGCAGATCTACCATTCAGAATTTACTATTGTTAACTGTAATGAGATACAAGGTCACCCTATAGAAGCTTGCTTAATAGGGCAGAAGAGAAACCTTTTCTTAGTAATTCTTTTAATGGTTGTTTTGATGCTTCTCACTCTAAAGGAAGAGTCTAGCAAAGGCTGGTTCTGCCATCAATACAGAACTTCCCCATTGTGGTCATTTGAATGAGAATAACACCCCATCGGCTCATGTGTTTTAATACTTGGACCCCAGTTGGTAGAATTGTTTGAGAAGAATTAGGAGATGTGACCTTGTTGGAGGTCACTAGGGGTAGACTTTTTAAAAAATCTGGTGCCATTCCCAGCATGCAGTCTGCCCACCCACCCTAACAGTTAAAGATACCAGCTCTCGGCTGATGCTTGGTCACCTGGGCTCGGCTGTTATGGACTCTAACCTCCTAAATCTGTGAGCCCCAAATAAACTCTTTCTTCCATTCAGCTGCCTTGGCCATGCTGTCTTATCACAGCAACAGAAAAGTAACACATCATGGGTACAGCTGTTTGTGTGTGTGGCTAACTGGTCGAGATGGTAGTTCTAAGAATACTCTAAAGATAGGCAGACAGAACTATCAAAGGTTAAAATTAAACTACATATTTTCTCTCTTTACTGTGAACAAATACAGACCACAGGTAACAGCTCTTACCATCAGGGGTCTGAAACAGCTTTATGGAGACATCAGATCTAGAGATTTGGACACTGTAATTAAGATGAAAATAACTGTTAATATAAAATTTTCTCTACAAGCTATATTTTGCTTACATCTTCAACTATAATTCAAAGATGCTTCATTGGCAAATCTCCAAATTTTTGCATCAGAAATTCATGGCAGTCATTCTGAAGTTGCAATTATTTACAGAAAAACATGACTTTGATGGATTAAAAAGTTGATTTCTGGGGCTGAAGCTTTAGATTGGTGTCAGAGTAGCTGCCTAGAACACACAAATCCCCAGTAACACACACACACACACACACACACACCCCAATCCTGATGGGAAGAGGGAAGAGAGGAAATATAAGCACTATCTACCTACGGCGACCCACCCTGGTAATGCAGTACCTGGCAAGAATGCTGCATCTCTATGTCACTCAGGAAGGATGGTTGTGTTGTTAAAGTAGAGAGAAATCCCAATCTTCCAACATTTCAAATTATTTGAGAATAAACAAGTTACACTTTCTTATGTTTAAACAAGATTTTTAGAAAATACAGGTCATAAATTTTAAAAAATAACTAAAATAAGGTCAAAGATCATCAGATAATGTTGTAGAGACCAGCAATGACTAAATTCTCCCTAGATTTTTATGAACAATCTTTATTTACAGAAATAAAACTTGGCCAATAACAATATAGCAAAGAAATACATATCAAAATCTGCTGCCATCATGTTTTATGATTTTTATTGCATATTTACAATGCGGGCACATTATAGGGATATACAACAGAAGCCAAATTTCCCAGCCCTTAAAAATTCTATAGGAAAGGTTAGATGAATCACGCACTGGTATATTTGAAGATGGGTATTGGAAACATATATATGATCATAATTTCACAAGCGAATACTCCGTGTAATAGAACAGGAGAATGGTACACAGTAGAAAAAAGTCACCCACGTATGAAAGAAACAAACCTGGGCTAAAAAGATGGAAACTGTGACCTTTAAAGGTTAAAATTCTATAAAACCATACCTATCCGCTATGTAAAACTGTGAGGTAGAGTTCTTGCCATCCTAGTCTCTGCTTTCCTGACCACCACGGGGGTACTTCCTCATTCAGGTGTCTTTTTCATGCTGTGGTATCAGGAACTGACTCTTGTATATGATCTTGTTTATTTTTTTCTGGTCCACTCCACTTCCATCACAAAGTGTTCTTTACCACTCAATGATGCCTTACGTTCTTTACTGAGAGTGGGTGGTAAATTTAACATAATCAAGATAGTGCCATTTCTTCTAGCTAATAAATTAGCATGCTTAGAGTCTAACTTTTCAAAGTGGAGCTAATTCTAAAAGTTCACGTCTTAGGAACCTCTTGGGGAGCTGTTTTGTAGCAGACGGGCTCCCTTATTTCTCTGAAATGCCAACTACCACATTCAAACATGAGTGATATCATTTCTACCCCAACTTCTCTTACTATTTAAACATGAGAATCAGAAAAATAGTTTACACCTTTTTACACACTCAAAATATAAAAATCAGAGCACAGAACAATCACATTGGGGAAAGGGATGGTGGTTTCTTTTTTTAAAAAGCACTCGTATGAGCCAGAAATTTTAAGTATTTACCCATGAGAAAAGAAATAACAATATTCAAGCTGTATGTTAAGAATGATCATTTGCAGCTTTGGTCATAATTGCCACTCCTGCAAATAGCGTAGTTAGCCAATAAGAAACTGGAAAAACAAGTGGCAATATATAATAAATGGGAACACTATTTAGCAATAAAATAGGGATGAATAAGTAAAAGCAACTCCATGGATAAATCTCCCAAATATTATGGTAGTGAAGAAGCCTTGTCAAGGAAAGTAGTTGATGTGTGATGCTAATAACGACAAGTTCTACAACACAGCAGTCTAACTTACAGTAGGAAAAAGAGCAGGGCTTGTCATGTGGAGGTCAGGAATTAATGTTAAGGGCCACGTGAGAACTTTCTAGAATGGTTTTCCTCTATATAGTACTCCATGTATTTATGAAAACACGGTGCTGGTCAATGTTCTGTGCTGCAAATTTTATACCAAAAGAAAGCCAAAAGCAGGCCTGGAACCCTCGCTAGTAAAAGGCGTGCTGGAGTATTTAGGTGGAAGCAAATAGAGGCTTGCGATTCTAGATGCATCGAAAAAAAATCTCGATGGATGGACAGACGGATGGGCATGTGACAAAGCAAGGGCAACTAACACCCAGGTGACGAGGATACTATAAAATTGTTTTTAATTTTATAGTCTTAAAAATTTTATAATAAAACTTGGGGAAACAGCTCTGACATTTACCCCACCTCCCAGAGTGCGAGGCCCTGTCAGAAATGGTGTCCTACATCTTACCTCACACCCTTCACAGCTCTGCTCTAAAAGCTTGACAGTCGCTATTTTTAGCCTATGTTTAGAATTCCTGTGTCATGGCATATAGGAATTATATACTGCATTTTTGCCTCATAAAGAGTTCTCACAAAAATAATCTTGATTCCTTGAAACATTTACTCACCAGCTTTCATAATATTTAGTTTCAGTGCTGGCTTTCCTGTGCTCCTGAAGTACTTCGTGTCCGAGCACAGGTTCTGCTGCTTTGTTCTGAAGCACAGACTAGTGTTTGCTCTCAAGTTTGCTTTAAAAGACGGCTGGGGCAATTAAGTCACACTGAGCATCACCTTCACCGACTGGCGCCCAACAGCACACCCTCACTTCTAAGTTCTATTACACGACTGGTCTTTCCCCATCACCATCACTGCCTGTCTGTCAAATTGTCTCTTCTCTAACCAGCTCTAACGGTGGTCTCAAGCCATGTTTACCTCAGATATACGCTCTTGATTTTATAGTTCATTTCCTTCTTAATACATTCCTCCTGTAACTTTCTTTGGCTTGTGTTAATTAATGGAGTTCATGGAGTTGTCTCATGCCCTATCAAAGTCAACAGAGATGATACTTGTGTGGTGTCTTCCATCTTAATGCTGTCATCTTCCCACAGCAGACACTCTGTTGGCTTTAAAGCGCCACTCACTGAGGAGGGCGCCAGCTCCACCCTCAGTACTTTAGGCTTGTAATCTAAATGCACTTTTCCTCATTCACTGGGTAGATGGGGGTAGGGATGAAGGGACGGGGTAAAGGGAGTATGGAGCAGAGGGGATAAACAGTGTGTCCTTTCTACCAGTCCATGAATTCCAAGATTAAGGAAAACTTTTGTACTCTGAAGGATCACAGCAATGATGCCTTCCTCTGTACATGCCCCTTCAGTTTTTAATACTTCTGTAGATTATTATATTTCATTATTGAAATTGATGACTTGTACATTTCCTATTTTAGAGTCTCAGGGATATTCATTGACATCTATCGATTCTGTGAAGTCAAAGAGTGTCAAATGCTATTGATTGTTTCATCAAGATATTTGTTAGCTACATATCAGAAAATCCTTTCTGCTCTCAGCTGAGACTCTTTGCTTTGAGACCTTAAAGTCAGCACTGTCAAGTTTGCTAATTCAGTTAACTGCTTGGCTATCTTCACACATCTTTTTAAATCCTGGAAAGCTTTTTCTTTGGGTGCTTAATCTAAGATACTAGCATTGTACAAGTCTTGTAATGGATGTTAGCCTATTTACTGATACGTATTTCTGCCTGTACCTTCTATACAGCCTCAAGATCTACAGAATTACACCAGTTAGAGTAGCTTTAGTTTTCAGCAGCCATCGTGTTTCCTTACCACTCAGTGTTCTTTGGGTAGGGTGTGAGACATACACAAGCATACCTAATCTCCTCTGGAAAGTTATGCAGCATATAAAAGAAGGCTAAATGATCTCTACCAATGTATACTGTGCAGAGGGATACATACTGGGCCGTACTATGATTATTTAGATGAAATAAGATTTGCTTAGCACAATAAAAAAAACAACTTGACATGTTCTCAATGGGAAGAATGACAGTAACAATTGTAACAGCATGCCACACATCAACTGAAAGTAATGAAGTGACCAGTATATGAAGAGCAGGAAATAGTCACCAGCCGACTATTTAAACCCCAATAAAGTAAGAGATCCACTCAACTCTGCAGTATGACATCCCAGTGCTGAGCAGTTTCACTAATGCCACTAACGAATCACCCTTATAAATTAAGGTCAAAGCAATAAGAACTGGGAATGAAGCCAAACTGATCTAAAGGAAGCTGTTGTCTTTGCATCACAGCTCTGCTGAGTCAGACATGCACTAAGAGAAGACATCAAACTGCCATTGTCTACTGAGTTTACACAGGAACAAAGACACAGAAAAGAAAGGAAAAAGGATGGAAGGCAGGCAGGCAGGCAAATAGACACAACCTAACAAAAGTTGCCCAGCTAAAATGCCAGTCAATAACTAGGAGGGACTAAAGTAATGCGGGGGGCAAGTATTTCTTTTTAATTACATTTGTAGGCCAATGTCAGCATCAACATAGCAAAGGCCTGAGATTTCAAACAAATTGAAGCCTCATCCTTCATGTGTCCTCTCAGTGAACTGTGACCAGATGAGAAAATTCAGTTTGGGCCATTGTTGGCTTTCCATTGTCAGTCTTGTGCATCTGTAAAGACACACATACAGAAACAGGGCAACACATTTGCCAATGAAGAGTGACTATGTATCTAATTTCATGTGACTATTCAAATCATACATGGCATTTCTGTATTTTGTCTCACTTTACCTTTTTTGCAGGAAAGAGAGCTTAAGGTATATGAAAGTTAACTCATTTGGAATTATGTACCCATGAGCTGATGGCATAATTACAAAGTCATAATAAAAACACTGATGACTCTGAAACTCAGTAAAAGAAACACATTAAATATAAGAAACAAACATCTAAAAGGAACATGTCTAAGGATCTAGCATCATACACATTCCCCAGAAGCACATTTACAAGTCAGCCCTAACTCTAGAAAATACCACCGTTCAAATACATGCCAGACCACAGTAGAAGAGGGATTATTACTAATGCTTACAAAGGGACACATGTGTAGGACTGAGCATGCTACACACAAGGAAAGGTCTAGGCACAAGACATGTGGAACAGCAGTTAGCCCCATGAGGGACCTTATGACATACCAGGAAAGGGCTAGCACCGTCATGAAGTCTGAAGAGTCACAGGAGTGCCTACCCACAGGAGGAAAGTCCCGAAGAAAGATTATCAAGTATAGAAAGAACTTCTGGATGGTCTCAGAGGTGGTGGCAGTGTAAGACATGGGGAGCAGTTGAATTTTGCCCTGGACATTGTGGCACCATTAATCAAAACTACTCCAGGAAGAGAAGGCAAGTATGATACATCCTTCATTTAGGTAGCAATGACAGGGAGGAAGCTGAGAGCCATGCGTTTTAACTCAGACGTGAAATGCAGGACACTAGGATGAGATGCCGAATGAGTCACAGCTGAGGACAGTAGCAGACTGCACATATGCAACACCTAGTCTATATGAGTTCACAACTGCACTCACAGTGATGGCAGAAGATAACATCTTTGAGGGATGGATTTGGGAGAGATGCTAGAAATGGAGAGAAAGGGAGGTGAGCAAAAACCTTCAATTAAGTAACTGGAAGACTATGGTTAACTTTCAAAAGAACAGTTTCCTGTAGAATGAGGTGTAATAACTAAATGAAAGGCTCTGCAGAGTGAGTGATGAGGATGACTAGACAAAGAACATAGACTTCTTCAAGGCTGGCAGAGACGAGGCTGGAGAAAACTGGCTTTAGCATAGGAGGGTATGTGAGCATCTCTACAGACCACAAAAAATAAACCAGCATACAATTCTTTGCATAATTCTATACTGATCAAAGCCCAATTGTTTTTCACCTTAAAAAAACTTTTAAAATAAAAATTAACACAATGTTAAATTATATACATTTTATAACTTAATACAAACATAAAAGCATTACAATTTTATGACAAATTTTATTTCTAAAGATCTGTACAGTTTTTGTGACTAGACTTCTTGAGGATGATTTTGCCTCTAGCATCATGAGATATTAAATACTATTAACAATTTCTGCTTTAGTTCCAGAGTAATTACTGTGATACAAAAGATTATATTGAAATAATTAAGCATACCTTCATCCCTAGCCCTCTTTGCCTAAAGACAAGCATCTTCAGGGTAGTTAACAATTTGGACAGCATTTTTCAAGAGAAAAATTAAAGATAGTCTTCTATTATTATGTTTTTAAAGGTCTAATTTTTTCACAATAAACATGCTTATTTTTTATTATATACACATGCATACATATGAAATTCCTGCCTAAAATACATGCAGCCACCATCAAAACCAAATGATTAGCCCATCCTCACAACCCTAAGAATGCCCTTTTATTAAGGCACTCATGTTTAGAATTAGGATGTAACTACCAAATTAATGAGATACTTAAAGAAGACTTTTATTAAGCACAGACAACTTTTAATACATTATGAATACAATAGGAAAATGTCTTCCAATGAATATGATATATCAAAGATCTGAAGGGCTTTCTTCATATAGACAATAAAAATAATCAATTTTGAAGAATTACAAAGTAAAATTTTGAGGACACCACTATCCACTAACAGTCTAACTATGATCTAAATGTTCTACATCACCTGGGGAGGAGGGGCAACCATGTTTTTATAGAGAATTCCTAAACTCCGATTAGCACCATTCAAAAGCTTATTTTCAGTTGCTCATCTACAAACTGACAAGTCAGATAAAGCGTGAAAGCAAGGACTCAGTGCAGTGTTTACAGTTCCTTCTTTAAGACACCTGGAGTCTAGAGCGTCAAAGCATGTTACATGATTATGCCATGGGAGCCAAGAGGTGTTAGCATTTAGAGACGTGTTGTGGGAAGAAAGGAGGCTTATCCTGCTGGGAAATGCGTCTTAATGAGCTGTGGCTAGCACAGCAGTATGCCAGCTGTGAAGATGTGTGGGCGTATGACCTGCAGATCTGTTGGAGCTGGGGAACATTAGCTTTCTGCGGTCACCATTTCGGGATGTCTCAGCTGCTGCCTTTTGAGACTGACCAGTTTCATTCTGTCTCTGATGTGTTCTGCAGTAGAAGCCATGTCACTTGGACTCCCAAAATATTGTTCAGTTCTAAAATCAGAACACATAGAAAAAGCACAGGTTAATACAAATTCATTTAACTGTAACAGATGCATGAAAGCAAATGTTATCATAAAATTTGATCTAGCCTATGAGCAGAAACTAGTTCCCCTGGGGCCTGCACAGTGACAGGCACCTGGAAGCCGGGATTACTCTTCTTCACTGCAGGTAAACCATGTGGCACCAAGCTACTATTGATAGATGAAATCTCGGCATCCCTGGAGATTCTTCTCAGTATAGACTATGAGTAATATTGTTCCAAGGGAGCAAACTGGCAATTTTCTTTTCAATGTGAATTCCAAACACTCACTGGAAGTCTGTAACACAGCAGTATGTCCTTTGTGTCTCATATTCAAGTTCTTTCTATATATTTGGCTCCAGGAGTCTGTCTGTCCGTCTGTCGTGCCCCCCAACCCCTCCCCCACCCGTGTGATCTGAAAAAGGACAATTACTCCACCCTGTAATCCTGCAATCAGGCATGGGAAACAAGACACAGAGAGTTGCAGTCACTGCTAGGAAGGAAGAAAAGCAGCTGAGACACTGGGCTGCAGCCTCTATATACTCTCCTCCATTACAGGACCACAAAGCAAGGATACCTTACTATTGTATGATTCAAAATTCCTTTGCACTACCTTTCAGTGACTCACTGACAAGGTCAAGATCTCCAGGGATGAAACTCTTAATTCCTTTCCTGGCCTGTTGATTTTATAGCAGGTCATTTCACATTTGAACAAAAAAGAAGGCGCACATCAGGGTCTGATGACCTTTCATAGGAAAAATCTGATGCCATAGGGCCTGTGACAAGAGACAGGTCTGGGGCTGAACAGACCTGACATGGTGTCCTATCTCCAATACCTGGAAACTAGAAAACCTTGGTCCTCTTATTGAATTGAGCCTCAGTTCCTTCAGTTCTAAGTCACGAATAACCACGCTGGCCTGGATCTATCAGGTATAAGCAAAGAAGGTCAAGAACTGAACCTGCTTGCTTGGTGCATCTTCTGGGCTCAGTCCCTTGGGTCTCAGTCCCTTTGCTGACCCTCCCCATTCTGAATGAGGTCCCAATCTCACAACTCCCTGTCATCACAGCCCAGGCTAGAAGTCCATGCCACAAACTAATCTGCAATCATCCACTCACAAGATGTCAAGAGGCAATTTTGATGTCAGCAAACACCGACTGTCACTGCTGCCAAGAGCTGAATTTGAACTTCTTTGCAATTTAAACTGATTTATTGTAGGAGTTGAAAATGTGGACCAAAACTAAGATAGTTGGCCTTCGAAAGAATAGATTTTCCTCTGTTAGTGATTTAGCTTTTAAATGATAAGAACATGCACCATACCCATCTGGGTAAACCACAGGGACAGTGAGTCTATCCAAAAGTGATTTCCCAACTGCTTCAATTTCCTCAAACTGCTCCTCGTCATTAATCGCTTCAGGCTCTTCTGGGCAGTCCTGCAAAATCTGTAGCAAACAAAAGGGCAGCACCAATCAAAACCATGAAAGAGAATTAACCCTGCATGAATTCTGTAAGTTGAGGAAGGTGCTCTGGTTCTGTGGTTGGTGTCTTCATAAGCATCCCAGGCTGCACACTGACAGCCACAAGCATCAACTGTACGAGGCTGAGCCAGGACAACTGGTGGAGAAATTCTCATCACAAATGAAGCATACCTCTAGTAACAACATACAATCAAGAACACACAAAAATCTGGAGTGATTTCTGGGAAAGAAATAATGGAGTACTGTTTGGAAAATTGTGCTTAAGAAATAGTCTCTAGCTTTTTAGACAACCATTTACTGAACACTTCATGGGATGTATATTTAGCAAAGCAGAGTGTGGATGTCAAGCTCTGTTCTTGAGGAGTTCACAGATTCAAAACTCAAAGAATCTGCAAACTACACCAACGTAGTATGCAAAGGTAACTGGCATGAAGATCTGCCTAGATTCTTTGGTCTGCTGATTTAACTACTTACAATTCTAAAAAGAAAGTCATTCTTTTTTATTTAAAATTCAAGGTTGAGATTCAAATTTGGATATTTTTCAATTATTGTGTTGTATAATTTGCTTACAGTTATATAGTTGAGTTTATGTTTGCTTTATAAAATAAAGCAGTCGAGAAGAGGAATAGTGAATGATGACAAAAAGCTTTATGTAGCAAGGTAAAATCCAGGGACAAAACAAAAACAAACCCCCAAACACCAACTTTCTATTTTAAAACCTCCTAACTATAATTATTTTTATATACCTTCTAAAGAGTTCTCAACTTAAAAATATCCTCCTATTTAAGAATAGTCTCCTAAGGGCTGGAGAGATAGCTCAGTGGTTAAATGCACTGGCTGCTCTTCCAGAGGTCCTGAGTTCAATTCACAGCAACCACATGGTGGCTCACAACCATGTATTGTATACATAATAAATAAATAAATCTTAAAAAATGTTCTCCTAAAATGTTATCATGTTTGAAACTTAAATCGGTTCTCTTCTGATAGAAGCAGAGTATGGTAACCCAAGATGGGGTGGGGCTTCAGGGCCTGCACTGACATGCACATCCTGTATAAGTCCACTAAGATGAGGTGGGGCTTCAGGGCCTACCCTGGCATGTGCATCCTATATAAGTCCACTAAGATGGGGTGGGGCTTCAGGGCCTACCCTGGCATGTGCATCCTATATAAGTCCACTAAGATGGGGGGGGGGCTTCAGGGCCTGCACTGGCATGTACGTCCTGTATAAGTCCACTAAGATGGGGTGGGGCTTCAGGGCCTGCACTGACATGCACATCCTGTATAAGTTCACTAAGATGGGGTGGGGCTTCAGGGCCTACCCTGGCATGTGCATCCTATATAAGTCCACTAAGCACAACACTGAAAGTCTATACTTTTTCTGGATAAGCAGTGTTATTTTATAATAATAAAAAGGTTCACTGAAATAATCAGCAGATAAAATAAGTCAAGCTATCTTCTAACCTTTTCCCATCCTCATTAGGCCTTTGTTTGTCTGCTGCCCAAGGTGGGATTTCTCCGTATGGCTCAGCCTACCCTTGAACTTGGGATCTTCCTACTTCAGTTTCCAGAGTACTGGGACTACAGGTATGAACCAGCATACTCAATGTCATTGGGCCCATTTTAACAAAAAACACTAAACTGCAAAGTTCAGTGAGCAGGTGAGAGAATCTGCTATGTCACTTTCAACAGTGTGCTTCAAACATGAACCACCCCCCTTCCTGAGATGCCCTGTGACATCTGTTCCTCCTGAGTTCCTGAGGTTCCCTGTCACATCTGTTCATCCTGGGGCATGGCTATAACTTACTGCATATTTAAATTCCCTGCATATAAGCTCAAACTGTTAAGATATCAACACAAAATTAACTACCTAATAAAACTTCCTTCTCGAATGAGAATGTACTCAGCATCACTACTGTGAAGAGAAATGGGTTCTAAAAAAATTGCCCAAATACTACTTTTACTACTGGTCTCTCTAATTACATAAAACTATGAAGAAATAAATTCTAGAATGAATCTTTTAAAATAATCATGAAACAAAGGTGTTTTTTTTTGTTTGTTTGTTTTTTTTTTTTTTAAGTTTCATTAGTTTACTTGACCAGCCTATACCCTGGATTATGGAATCACAAAGTAACTTTTAAAAACTTTCTGACAATTACTCCAGACATAGCTCTCAAAATAGTTTCCTTGCTGACCGAATGAAAGAGCCTGACAAGGTAACAGCAGAGTGCAGAGAAGCCCCGGCCTGGACTGCCCTGGGAGGGGCAAGGAGAGGAGAAGCCAGGTCTCCTGTAGCTCTGGAATCCCTGGCCAAGCACTCCAGCCCTGGGTCAACTCAGGAGACTGAACAGAGACACTCTTATGACAACACACATTCAAAGGAACCTTAGCAACAAAATGAATATGAACACTAACACACAGATTAATCATATAATTACATTATTTTGAATAACACCTTAAACATTTGCAATGAAAACTATCATAGTAACTTGGTTTTTAATTGTTGTTTTTGTTTGATTTTAAAAGAGAGTACAATGGGGCTAGAGAGATTTCAGTGGTTAAAACCACTGGCTGCTTTTCCAAAGGACTTGTGCTCACTCCTAGCACCCACATGATGATGCAAAACTGGAGCTCCAGTCCCAGGGGACTCTGTCATCCTCTCTGACCTTTACAGGTACTACGTTGCATGTGGTGTCCAGACTTAAATTCATGCAAACACACACACATGAAATACAAATAAATAAAACCCCAAAACATGCTTTTAAGATCCTGCCTACCTTTTCAGCATTTGAGTGAAAGGCAATAGCCATTTCCAACCTATGCACTCTCTCTTCAGATGCTACTGTAAACTGCTTCCACACTCTGTTCAGTCGAGGAAGTGTGTCCCCTGAAGACCGGGAAGTACAGCGCAAAGATTGGCACAAAACAACCGTTGCCTGGAGCAACTGTCTGCCATAGTCGTATGTACTCTAGGAAGGAAAATAACCACCAAGTTAGAATACAAGCAATGCATCAGAAGGGAGATAGGGCGACCGAGTGGCACCACTGGACATCTGTACTACACGAGTCCAGCAGCCTGTTAGAATACAAGCAATGCATCAGAAGGGAAATAGGGCGACCGAGTGGCACCACTGGACATCTGTACTACACGAGTCCAGCAGCCCGTTAGAATACAAGCAATGCATCAGAAGGGAGATAGGGCGACCGAGTGGCACCACTGGACATCTGTACTACACGAGTCCAGCAGCCTGTTAGAATACAAGCAATGCATCAGAAGGGAAATAGGGCGACCGAGTGGCACCACTGGACATCTGTACTACACGAGTCCAGCAGCCTGTTAGAATACAAGCAATGCATCAGAAGGGAAATAGGGCGACCGAGTGGCACCACTGGACATCTGTACTACACGAGTCCAGCAGCCTGTTAGAATACAAGCAATGCATCAGAAGGGAGATAGGGCGACCGAGTGGCACCACTGGACATCTGTACTACACGAGTCCAGCAGCCTGTTAGCAGTCTGCAAACACAGTTAACAAATGTTGTACTGTGTCTAGTTAGCTCCCAGGTTTGTTTCTCTTTAAGCTCCTGTCCTCATTCTGTGCTCACCATCTCAGCCGGCTAAATTCTACTGGTCAAAAGAATGTCAGCCCTCTGATTACCAAAGCAAAGAGATGAAGTTAGCTCCACATGGGGGAAAGTAAGTTATATAGGAAAGTGTGAATTCTGCAAGAGGAAAAATATACAAACATACCCGCAATCCCCAAACAATTCTGTATCACTATGCTAATTCTAGTGAAACTAGGAGTGCTGCTTCTAATCTGCTGTCTCTAACAAGTACCTCATGTTAATTCTGTGAACTGTCCAACGGTCTAAATGGCATAGCATATAATACAAAGCAGAGAGAACCCAAAGACTCTACACTCATGAGCCAAACTCTTAAGTTCCTGTCGCCCAGTCTTGGGGCACCGGCTGGCATTTTCTTAACTCTGTGTAACAAAACTGACCTTCTTAAGACTTGGAAGGTTAAGGTACACCATCATCTTGCAGAATGCTATTCACACACTGCCCTTGTAGAAAAGAAGACAAGTTCTGTACCTGTGCAACATCAACAAATTTTCTATGTTTTTCCAGTAAAACCTTCGTTTCCTGAGCATCATCACCCAATCTGATGTGGGTCTTCAGTAGGGCATCCAGAAGTTCACTTAGCCATTCTACTGCCTAATAAATACACAGAATAAAACTGGACTCATAATTCTATCCTTGTAATGAAACAATAAGTCATGCAGAAATTACTTCTGTGTAATTAGTTAATTCTTTAATTAATACCCTGGGTTTAGCAATCATTTGATGCCATGCTCTATGAACGATCTCTCCTTATCCTCAAACTGCTGTCTCGAATGTCAAGGCAGGGCCTACTGGAAGATGTGCTCAATGTGTAGCTACCATCACATGATATAAGGCCATGGGTCCCTGTAATACAGTTCTGCTGGAATCTCATTACAGATGTGCATTATGACTTAAAATGATATATTTTCTCTGTACTTCAAGATAAAATGATTTTCTGAAACTAAACACATGATTACATCAATTTGCTTATGTAGCACTGAGAATTCTCTTATGGGACAGAAAGTAATGTGCTTCACCACCCTTCACTCCAGGGTAGAACTAACAACTTTGTTGACAATAATAATCAATAAATATTCTCAATCTCTAACTCAACAGAAGATTTCACTGAGGGGGTAAGTGAAATGAGATCAGTAAACTAGCTAAATCCCAAGCTTTATTCTCTACAGGAAAAACAAGGACCTTACATAATAAACTGGCTTTCTTAGCACCACAGGAGTCTACTTTGTTCACAGTTAAGTGAACTTAGCCTTCTAAATTAGCCTACAATGAATTTAGTCTAGGCTAACCTCCTATGTGGTTGGCCAGGCCTTACCTGGGAAGCATCCTCTTCACATTTAAACAACTGCACCATCTGAAGCATCTTCAGCCTCCGCACGTCTACCATATCCTCACATCTAATGGACCAAACACAAACTCCGCTTAGTGTTCTGGCCTAGAGATCTACAACATCATCATCTGACACGCATGTTTAATAGTACACTAAAACACTTAGTCCTATGCTCTATGGATACTGCAACTATTTTTGTACTGACTTGTCAGAGGTTTATGAATATCTAATCTATTATCTATGTTACATCAAGACCTCAAAATACCTGGGATGATACTGAATGACAAACCCTCTCGAGGATAGCATGGATTCTGCAAAATATTGAAGCAAAGCATAAATGCAATGGTTCACCAAAACTCAAATAAACCTCCATCGCCAACTTTATTAAACAAGCGTCAAAGATAAAAGTATCAAAGTTTAGAGGATGATGTTCCATATAAATTTAACACATTTTTTCAAATTATATTATCTAGAATAATACTAAATTCTGAATTAAAAATGTCCACCTATAGTCTTTAAGAAAAAATAATCCAAATATCTTCTGAGTTACAACAAACACAATGCAGAGCACTGTTTAAGCTCTCTGTGGCCTTCATGGAAAATATACAGAATAAATTGCAATAGTGTCTTGGTGTAACTAAGATATGATCCATTTTCTTCATTTCTGTGCAGTTCCATGTACCAGAGGCAGGTAGGGGCTCTTATAAAGCCTCACATATGAGAACCAGGCAATCCAACAGACCCCAGTCTCTACATTCAGTGTTCCTGAAGAAAGCCTAATGGTAACATAGAACTAGCTACTAATCTAAAACAAAGATTTCTCAGTCCCAGTCAAATGTTATAATACAGCTTATTTAAGGTAAGGTACGTCTACAAGTGACAGAAGGGAAGTAACAATTATTATTTTTAAGATCTAAATAATAATATATGTAAGACACCTTAATGATTAAGATGATTGCCACATGAAGCTCAATACATATTGTGTGTCATTGGGAAAGCAAGACAGTTTAGCCTAAGTTTAAATTATACCATCTGAACGCACAAGAGTCATATTAGAAAATGTTTATGGGAAATGAATTTTAGTTGGTAAGATGGTAAACACATATTTATTCATGTAAAACATCCTATGGGAGTGGAGAGGAACAAGTGACTCACTTGCCTAGCATAAGCATCCACTAGACAGAAAAGAAAAAAGAAAAAAGTCATGGATGAATGGAAAACACAACACATTTGAGAAACTAAAAGCAACTACAATTCTGTGGGAAGTTACAGGATGCTGAGACTGAAGAGCTAAAGGTGGTCTCCTATACTAGCCTAAGAACACAACTCCATCTCAAAAGACAGGTTCAGTGCAACTCGACCCTGAACATCTGTTCTGAGGAGAGTAGTCCGTAGTCAGCTGTCTCTGGCCAGCTTCTCTCACCGAAGTTAATGCATCCATCCCATGGAAGACATAATGACATGAGACCCTTTAGGCCCCACAAGCATCCTTTGGTTGTCAACCAAAGGCTGACAAAGATTATTACTTTAAGACGGATAATGGTGAAAATGAGCACCAGTTATCAAGAAGAGTGAGTTTAGACACCGAGGCTAAAGATGAATTACACATGGTGGAAGCAGAAGTGATGAATCAAAGGGCGGTCAAATTAAAGTGATAGTGGCAACTGTGAGATCTACAAGTCCAACGGCTGGGACCTTCAAATAACACCACCTGTTGTCTTCAGGTGCACGTGTGGCTCAGGGCCTGTACATGCTTGTGGACGGCACCTAGTAGCACGGAGCAAGATACCGAGTCAGAAGATGGAGACAAGGGGCATGTCTGGGGAGGCATCAGCTTCTCCAAGAGGTAATCAAGTTCCACAGAGAGAAATAGAGAAGGAAACTGAAGAAGGAGCTCCAGTGAAGGAATCTGTCTGAGCTCCTCCAGGCAAAAATGCAAAAGAATCGAACCAGAATGGAAAAGACAAAACCATCAACACTAACATCAAAAGGTCAGGAATCCAAAGAAAACCAACCAATCAAACAAACAAACAATAGGAAAACAAAACAAAAGCAAGTATAGAAAAGAAGGGTTCACTTCCCAAAGTGGAAGTCAAGTTCATAAGCTATATGAATTGCTTCCGGATGACTAACCAGGAGGTTCTTGAGTGCTTGGCAGTGGAGGAAGTCTCTTTAAGAAAACAGCTGAAACACTTTGAAATATTCCATCTTACTTCACTGCTATAGCAGCTGGTATCTGGCTGTCTTTTTATAGTAAGAAGTGAGGGCTTTCCCCTACCGTGTTTGGTAAATGCTGACCAGATTTCACTGCCAAAAATGTGCTGTTTAGATGCCTGTTTCATTTTTCAAGGATGGAAATAGAGTCTTTATTTGGCTTTAAACACTCATGGAATGTTAGACGAGGACATAGTAATAGTGGTGGTCAGACATGGAAATGATGGGGAGACAAAAATAAAGGTGTGAAAAAAACCCTCATTATTCTAATAATGGAAACAAGGGTCAAGGGCTTCATCCAGTCTTTGTCCTTGTGAAGATTACTCTTGTCTGCAACAGCATTATCAGCAGCAAGACCTAAGGCATCTGTGATAGATTTAAATTTAGAGCTAAATTCTAAGTTTGGTAGTTAACCGCAACTTGAACAGGAAACTAAGAGAGAGCAAAGTTTGGAGGAGAATGTGGCACATCCAGCTAGAGATCTACCCAAGAGGCAACTCAAGGTAGAGAGGGCTGGGTAACTAGCAAGCCATGAGCATGCAGGGCAGACTCAGGGAAGACACAGAGAGGAGAAGGACACCATAGCCCTGGAAGCCTTTAGCAATAGAAAGAGAAACCAGGAGGGACAGAGCCAAAAGGGTGCTTTAAAAGAAGACACAGTTGTCAATGACTTTCAAAGAGAGACTACCAACTGTGTCCAATGCTATTTAGAATCAAGTGGGTCAGGCCTAAAATCGCCCCGATTTCTCCAAGAATGAGCTTATTACATACAGCGACAGAAGTTACTGACACTAGAACAAGCAAACAGAGAGGAATATGGAGGGCAGAAAGGAGAATAAAGGATAGAAAATAACCTAGAGGAAGTAAGGAACACAGGTTAAACCTGAAAATGACTGAGCTGTGAGGACTAGAGGTGACATCAGAAGACAGTGGGCTGAAGAGCAAGCCACTCTCCTTCTGTGGCAAGTCTACATGTAAAATCATTTATTATACTTCATATTGGAGAGATCTAAGCATCCACAGGTGGAACCAGAACCAGGGTGGAGAACAAACATTGCTAGAGTAAAAAGACGGCTGGGCAAGAGAAGCCAGAGCCCATATGAGGATTACCCAAGAAACTCACAGAGGTATCACACCCCACAGTAAGAACACTGTAGGACCAGGGCAGGGTGCAAAAGGGATCCCTGCTTTGTGACTCTTCATGGTGTAGAGCAGAAATGTCTGGGAAATGCTCTTCATGACTTACATTTCCAAGTGTGCAAAATTTCATACCACCATGCCAGATTACATATCTGTGCCTATTCTTGCCACCATTAGGGACTGGATCTCCAAAGCCTTTAGTTCCTATTAGTCTACCAAGAGGAGAAAATTCAATGTCAGCCCATTGTCTAATCCTATGACCAACAAAACAATGGACATAAGAAGATGAGACAACTAGGTAAGGTTTAAAAGAATCCTAACAGAAACCAGTAAAGAACACTTTCCACAATGGTCTTCTTCTAGTGTGAATATCTGAGTATAACTAAAATCTCTACAGCCAGAGGGAAAGTTGCCTCTTTATTGAATGAATGAAGTGGCATTAGTTGTCAGAACAATTATATATAATAATTATATTCACCCTAAACCTCCTATACATATAGTATATAAAAGGTAAGAAATTCGCTTTTGTATACAAAATATAGAGCATTTAGCTTCTATCTTAGTATCACGCTATCTTGGTGAATTTAACATTAACATTCAAACTTTGCCTTTGTTTTCTAAGCTGCATATCTTCCATCACTCCTTGTATATGGTCCACGTTTTCTTTATTTTCAATAGTTACATCCTTTCCATAGGCCCAGGAAGCCTGATTGGAGATCTGATCCAGGAGACCTTGACCTTTTTCTCGTAAGCCTTGCAATCCCACATCTAAAATAAATGACATTGGATTAAATATCTTAACAAGGGTGTTTCTTCTTCAGCAGCTAAACATAAGTTCTAAATGTAGACACTTTAGATACTGACATGACACGATGCAGACCTCTCACTATCTCAAGCAACAGAACTTTTAAACGGGGCTCAAAGTGGCACGCTTGCTTCTGTTGCCAAATTCTCCACAAAGGGAGTCTTCAAAACCAAATCTGCATAAATGACGACTTTTAAAAACTGGAAGTATGGGATTCACTATTTCAACAAATATGATTTTTCCCTTTTCCCTTTTGTGTTCCAACTTTTATGGAAACGATGTACAATTCTTCTCAAATGCCTAAGATTTGCAAGATTTCAAGTATGCTCACAATGTATAAGCAAAGTAATGGATGAACACGGTGAGGAGGGCCACTGAAGCTCACATGTCATAGGAAGTTCTACCCAAGATGTCTGGACTCCAAAATAGACATGCGCATAGGAGTTCTCTTTTGAGGAAAGCATGGCCCAAGAAAACTTGTGATACTTTAAATCACAGTTGGCATATGAAATATTAAAAGAGGTATTATGCATACAATCCATTAACTTATCAAAGTCTGTAACAAAGCAAAATGTCAATACAAAAAAACTAAGTCCCTGAAGTTGGTTTCATAATGAAATTAGCTCAATAATGTGTCATCACATTCTACTAACTAAACTAGCCTTAATGTCCTGCATCTTCCCCACTCACCCTTTTGTAAGATGCCCCCCAACTCAGTTTGACTTCCAACTAAGGAACTGCACTGTGTTTCCTGATGCAAATGCATATAAAGGGTCTTAATGTCAAGTGACAGAGCTGGGTTAATGAAACTGGACCATACTTTTGAAGATAATTTTCAGTGTGGAGATACAATACACGGAATCAAACCAACTATCCATTCTCATGGTTAGAATATAGCAACAACAACAACAACAAAAATCACTGCATAAAACACAGTCTGGGGCATGCAGGGTTTACCATGGAACACTTCACAACTAATTACGGTTTCTGCGTGCATGACAAATATCTGTCCCCGGGATATGCAAGACATAGCACTTTAGATTAAGTAACAGGAAGGTGAAAGGCCCAAGGAAAGCAGGACTGACCAATCACAACAGAAAATAAATGTTTTAGCATGAACATTTCATAATCTTTCAAGGGAATAAAACCTTTCAGTATTATGTCTTCTGTGTTCCCTGCAAAAAATTAGTCCAGTATATAAATTGACTGTCAAACCATGGTAATATTTTTACAAAGAACCCTTAGGTTTCAGCATTTTTAAAATCTGCTTACCAACACTTTTCAGCTTCTCTTCAAGCAGTTTTAAAGTTTGCTGAATCGATGCTCCATCAGCTGGTGCTACGTCTACGCACAACATACCTAATAAGCCATCCAACTGCTGAGACAACTAAAGCAGAGGGACAAAGAGACAACCCTGATGTAAGCGGCATCTCAAGTCTTCAATGATTAATGAGGTCTATCTAATGAGGCCATCAAAAATACACTTGAAGAGACTATGCAGTTAAAAGATAAGGATGAGCAATCAGAATACATGTTATCTAGAAGACCGGACACACAGAAGGTCAGCAGAATACAAGAAGTTAGTGGTGGTTCCATTTCTGCCTCTGTTATAGAACATGTTATTGAGAAAGCATCAAAGTAAAATACTAGCTAGACATGCTCTAGTTAGATAATAGAGCACTGCATGCAGAATAACAAAATACTTTTTAACTGAGGAATTGTATCTTATTACCCCACCAGTAAATTACTGTTCCCGAAAGATAATCATGAGACATACAAACCTACAAAAGTTTTGTACAGATTGTCTGTGTCATTTGGCAACATGGAAAGCAATCAGAACAGGTACTCACATCTTGGGCCACACCATGAAATTCCAAAGCTGCCTGTAGGAGATTTTGCCTAAACTCTAGCTGACTGGCCTGTCGGTAACAAACATCACTAAGCTGTTGCTGCAGAGACTTCAACTCCACCAGATCTTCCTCATCCCCAGCGTTCAAGAGTGCTGCAATCTGCTGGTTAAGCTCCACGTATACTGCAAACCACTCCTGTAACAGGGACATTACAAAGCACACCGAAGGTCAGATTAGCCCCAGAACACTACATGTGATTTCGCAAGAAGACAAACAGAAATTTTTCTAAGGCAGAATTATTTAAATAGAAGATAAGTCCCCTGTCATCAGATCCTTCCACAGTGATCCCTGGAAGTCACTACTGGCCAAAACCAATCTCTCCAGTGCCGTTCTAAATGGTCCCTTTATCCCTGCTCCATTGGAATACAGGGTCTTGAAGTTTTCCCAAACCAACTATAGTCCTTGTCACCCAAACTCCACAAGCCCTGAGTGAGTCCAAAGGTAGGCTTGCTCCTCATTGTTACCTCCAGATTGTTTCTCATCTGCTTCCCTGAACCTCACCACCTTCTCACAGTGCCTGCTGCTGAATTTCTCCCTATCAGCCCCAACCCCATCCACAGGGGGTGTGGTAAAGGCCTGGCTTTCTCTCAGCAATGTTTCCACCATGTAGATATCTACCAACACCAACTCCTTTCTCAACTGTATTATTCTCACTGACCCATCTTAGGCACCATGAAAACCGATTGCCTACTACTGCATAACCCCTAAACCTCAGTTTCATTAGTCCCACTCTCTGACCTCCAAGGACTGACCCCAGTTGTCCTCCTTTAGCAGGCCGGCACTTACAACCCCATGGGGTCCACCAATCTATGACTATTACAGGTTTACTGTCCACAACTTGGCAGCCTTTTGTTCTGTCTTTTATCCTAAGTCACCTGATGTGACCTAAGTCACAACCTACAAGCAGGTTTTTCTGCCTATGGTGACCAGCAAGCTCAAATAGCTATGGTACTATAGTCATATGCTATACAATGATGGTCAGGAGCAGAATGTATAATACAATGATGTTCCCCAGACCATGTGGCTTACGGATGTCACAGTCACTTACTCAATGTTTAGGCAACATAAAGATACACACAATACTTATGTACACACACACAAATACATGCCTACATACACGTACTCACGCACGTTCTCACACATGCACACATCCTTTTACTCCCTTTACAGGAGTTCTCAACACTCATTTGCTCTCACTTCCTAGTCTCTTCTGAATTTCTCCTGGTCAGGATTTTGTACTTCTGTTCTTCTGAAACCATTCACATCACTTTCACCAGAAAATTCCCAATGTTTTATTCTTCTACCAATAAGTATTGCTGGCTCCACCCTGTGAACTTAACATCTCAAATGTCTGCTGCCTTCATTTAAATACTTTATAGTCTTTCATTTTTATTATCTCTAACTCTATGTTCCACACAAGTCTAGGCTCAAAAAATGCTCCAAAACTTTCAAACATTTAAAGTAACTTTGGTTCCTTTCCACATGTTAAAAGGCATCATACATTCCTGCCGCAGACTTACCCAACACTGGAGCTTCTGTCTACACCTTGCCCTCTGTTCCCTGGCAACAGCAACATCCTGCCTCCATTATGCTTCTGCAGCAGCATGCTTTCCACATCAAATGTTCTATCTTGTGTCCTTTGCTTGGATTACTCCATCACTGAATTTCAAGGTTCGGGTAATAGTGTCATCTTCTCAAAGAGACCTTTCCTCAACACCACACCTCTATTGCTCTCTGCAGTCCATCTCTCCTGACTTGGCTGTAAATTCTATATGGTAAGACTTTGCCATAACTCTAGAATTCAGAACAATGTGTTCAATTAACACACATTGAATAATTGTGTAAAAAGTAATAAACATTGCAGATTTGCAATTAAGTAGGTAATGGGATGATTTGGAAATGTCTGAAGATATATTTTGGTTCACATGATTAAGAAGACGGTAGCAATACATATGGGAGCCTATATAACCAAGACCTTCATGTCTAAATTGACAGAAATGTAAAGAGGTCAAGTCACTGCTCCATTAATTATGGTGATAAGAACTGCCTTACTATTTATTGGTTATTTTAGAAACAATTAGTTTTTAAACTATTTTCTAAATACCAAGTTATTACAATGACTGATAGAGTGCAGTTGTCAAAGTCTCACACCGTATGTGTGCTCTGTGCATGTGGGGGAATGTATGGATACTAACATGCAGCACGTGTGTGTGGGTCAGAGGGCAACTTTCTGACAACAGGTATTTTCTTCCCACTATGTGGGTACAAAGGACAAAACTCAGGTCATCAGGCTTGACAGCAGGCACCTTCTCACCAGCCTAAGAATGTCTGTCTTAATGTGAAAAATACCATGGAGAAAATTGTTGTCATGTTCCTAAATAGGAAATGATTTCACTGTCTTATTTATAGCACTTGGAAATTTAGTTAGTACTCTGAAGAAATGTGTCCTGTTCCTGAAAAAGAAGTTGCAATAATTCTAAGGAAAGCAGTAAACCAAGGGGTTAGCATTCAGGAACATAATTTCTCAAGTTGGTTTGGTGCACATCAAAGTGTCTAAACTCTATTTTTAAAAGTACGTTTTAAGTTATTCCCACTTAATGAAGAATCACCATTGTGTAGGTGATTTCTTTTTCCTTTATGAATTCATAAAACACATACAAGTTCTTGCAATCTCACCAGGGATGAAAATATAACACAAGAACTGGTATACCTCAAGAAATCAATACGTTGGTTAGAGATACGGATTTTACTGATTTACTTAGTTGAGGTTGTCCTAAAGACAAATCAGCCTGTCTGGGATAAGGGTCAAGGAGGATCTGGCTTACCTATAATATATACTTAAAATTAATCAAAGTGTTTCTAGCTACAAAGGAGGGAGTGTGGGCGTATATGACCTCAGGTGAGTAGACTGCCTTTGATCCAATCTATCTATCCAGCTTGCCCATCTGTTGTATGGAAAATGACTAAGTATAGCAAATGAAAAATCACAGAATCTGGGGCCTGAATTAAGACTGTTAAAGAGCAGGTGAATGTCTTATTTACATGAAGACAGTCAGGTCCAAGGCTACCCATGTGAGTCCCACACAGTGTGTATCAAGATGAAATGAGTCTTGACTCCTTAAGCAACTCTGTGTTGCTGGTTGCTATTAGATGGCACACACTAGGAACATGTGGCCTTTGGCCAGGGTACTGACAGAATGCTGAGAAGCTTCAGAGACCATATTCCACACTATTTTACATTTTCTACTGCATTTGCCTCTACTGAAATAGAAAAGACTTTCACTAAACTAAAATTCTTTTTTTATGTTTTTCATGGTATCTGAGGCAAGGACTGGCTTCCAACTTGTAACTCTCATGTCTTAAAGCTCTGTAATTACAGGTATTCAACATCACATCTAGCTTCCATTAAAATATTTTAAAATGTTACCAATTCTATAACCACTATCATGCTTCTTACTATTTTTCCTGCAATATTAAAAGTTGACTGAATTTCTAGCCCATAATCCCCTGCAAAGAACTGCATGTTGGGAGTTTCATTCTTCTTTACATTAATCCTAAACAGCCAAATACAACTGAGGTTTTAGTTTTAATTCTCCATTATGATTTTATGTGAAATTTGACATTTAATGCTTGGCATATTAATTTAATGTGCATGTTTTATTAATATTTTCCAAATTCTATCTTTGCTAGCTATCAATACTAGAATTTTGTCATTATTTCACAAGACCTGAAAAATGCCAATAAATTCTTTCAACCGTTGGATCTTATTTGGAAAGAACAAAGAACAAAGTTTTAATTTTGTTGTTGGGGTTTTGGTTGGTTCTTTGGTTTTGAGACAGAGTATGTAGCCCTAGATGGTCTACAACTGGCTATGTTGACCAGATGGACCTCAAACTTGTGGCAATTCTTTAGCCTCTTCTTGAGATTACAGGTATGCATTATATACCACACCCAATTAAGAAAGTCTTGAATAAAACACTAAATATTAGAACCTTAAGTATTATAAGCTAGCACATTTATTATCAACTAAGCTATTCACAAGTCAACAGTACAGTGCCACCTATCGGCTAAAAATAGTACAATCCTCCTTCTAAACCTTACAATGGAAAATTTCAAATCTAATGAATGTGAAACAGAACAAAATAATGAGACTCCATGTCTACCAAGCTTTAGCAGTTATCAACTTGTGGCTGACTCCATTTCATCCAGACTCCCACCCACTCTTTCCATACCTACTGGTTTTACAATGAATCCCAAATGCAACATGATGCAACATAGAAATAAATCTATGATGGTCCACAAATGTTTCTTTTCTTGAATACCATGAATGAAGATGTCAGTTTACCTACACAAGTCCCCAAGTACTAGGAAGAACTAGAAAGGACCCCCATATGGGCACTCAGAGGTCTGCTTAGAGGCTGTTCAAGCAAGTCTAGTCAGTCAACAGAGTCTGCATCTAGAAAACATTGTAGTAGTGGCATTTGGATAGCTCCACACTAGCTGGTGGTCCTTTCCACTTTTAAAAGTTCTACATACATTTCACATTTCAACATGCAAAAGTACACTGAAGCACACAGACCCCATAAGTACACTGCTTCTTTAAAGTGACTTAATGACCATGTAAAGACAGTTTCACACAAACATGTCTATTTGTTATATGTGTGAAACCTGCACATTTATCCTTACTGCATGAAGCACACAATGTACTTTTTAATCCAATGTGAGCTTATATATTATATGTGTATAATCCATTTTATACTTACAAGTGTTTCTCTTGGATTCTTTTTAAAATGTCAAAACACAAACACTTGTCTTCAGGCCCCTTATATAACAAACTCTCACTAAAAGATTTACATAATTAAGGAGTCTCAGATAAAGTCTAGAATGCTGTGTGACAAAAATCTGTTTTCAAGAACTAAATAGGGGCACAAAGTTTAGAATCTATTTATACTATAATACTGTACTCCAGAATAATCCACACAGTTCTATCAAACCAAACCCCTACCAAAAATAAAGCAAAACTCCAAACCAACTCAACAACATTATACCATTTAAAAAGGACCAAGAGAATTAAAAAGATTATAACCACAGGAGCAGGGCCTATATGTCAAATATAAATCATCCACTACAACTTTGTTTAACCATAAAAAAGAGATCCATGTTGGAAACTGTGCAATGTATTAAAATATACATATTTTTAGCCGGGCAGTGGTGGCGCATGCTTTTAATCCCACCACTCGGGAGGCAGAGGCAGGCAGATCTCTGTGAGTTCGAGGCCAGGCTGGACTGACAGCCTCCAAAACAATACAGAGAAACCCTGTCTCGTAAAACCAAAAAAAAAAAAAAAATACATACATATTTTCAATTATAGGATTTCATGTTTAAGTTTCTTATGAGCGTGAGTTCAACATTTTTATTACTGGCCAGTTTTTGAAGATATTCTAAGAAGATGTAAATTAACAATGTTAATTTTTCAAATTTTATATTCAGTCCATTTAAAATCAACATAAGTAACGCAGCTTGAGGGGAATAAGGGGAGGTATGCCTTCCTCATTGAGGGCAGGCTGACTAACCCACAGCAGAAGCTAAGTAATAGTGGACTCCCTACCCACCAAGTTTTACATTTTAAATTCTTTTGAGCCATCATTATCTATAACCAGTTTAGGGATTAACTGATTGCCCAATGTATATCTGACTTTCTGATTGTCACCTTCATAATTACAAGAGTAAACCACTAAATCAACAGAGACTGGACAGATGTTCTGTATGCCACGTCCCTCAGGCACACGGCTGTGTTTAACACAGTGGCTATCAGCATTTAATTGTGTTGTATATTCCCAGTAGAGCAGGGAAAGCCCTTCTCTTGAAGGATCACAGAATAGAAGTGTCACTTGGAAAAGAAAAGGGATCAAGGGGAAATGGAAAGGGGGGGCAACTGAGGGCTGTAAAGGGACATGAATATGATCAGAGTATTTGATACACACATATAAAAAAGCCACTATGAAACCCATTATTTTATATGATTGATACCTGCTAAAACAACAACTGAACCCACAAGTTTCCCAGGAACTACTGATAAAGACTCTGTATTTTTAGGTCACTCCCCGCCCCCCAAACACATACACTGCAAATGTCATGCAAATTGTGCTTCTAGGACAAAATAATGGAACTGTATGGGAATCCAGACCAAACTGTCGCTGATTATGTGCTAAGTCTCCAAGTGCACTTTCAAACCTCTAAGTATTCAACGCCTGCAGCACTCTGTCACACCCAGGTCCTAGTGACAGCCACAGAGGACCACACTGTGACTGGCAGAGGGAAAGCTGCTCACACTGTGCTGGCTCTCGATCTCCTCATGCTTTTGTTGCAGGGCCTGGGAGGCCCGGATGGAGTCACCAATCCCCCACTGTGCTCTCAGTTGTTCAGATCCAGGCCCTTCTAGCCAGTTCACAACCTGCAAACCAAAGATGAGATGAATAAAATAATCAAAGGTCTTCAAATTGCATTCTGATTAGTTTTTCCTCCCCCAAATTCCTGAATTCCTCAAATGTTTATAACTTAAATTATTTAAGTTCTATTGCATACCAATGGCAGTAAATGTTTCATTTAGAATTATGTATTTATCCTAGGATATCATTTCCAAAAACCTGAATTTTGAAGAATGAACACTGTAGCTAACACCTGGTTTTCAGATATCTGGGGGAAAAAACAACACCATGGGGCGCTTCTATTAAAAAGTGAAACTTTTACTTATAGTAAGAGAGTCGGAACAACAGGACTTAAGAGTTGGGAGGATATCAGGAATGACATTAGTCAAAGGTTTTAGCTACCACTTCGGAAAGTTGAGTTTCAGATGTAGCTTGTCCAAGGGAACAACATATTACTAAATAATCAGGACAAAGGACACATGTCATGACTCGGTGGAATGTTCTTGCCAAAGCCCTAGGAACAGAGTTAATCAACAAAGTTGAAATACTACTTTCTCACTTTATTAACAAACTGTAGGCTCAGACTACTTGAATGCTCTCTAGGTGTCTTCGAAGGATAAACTTGTTGGGAGAAATCCCACAAACTCTGCTCCAAAGAGTATGGGGGATCTGTAGTTTGCCAGGATGGCAGGCCCCAGTGCTCATGTGCACAGTCCCAGCATTAGGTGTACAGAGCTAAGAACCATATGCAGTAAATATGAAAGTCATTCTGGTATCAAAAGTCCACATCCGACAGGGTCTCAGCTCCATCATGAACCACTGAATTCAATGATACACAAATGTGTAGCTTCCATCGGGTATTAACAGTTCAGACCAGACCCTGGGTGTTTTAGGAGAAGGACATTACCAAGAAATGCTGGTTACATTCCAGTCATTGTCCAGTGCTGGGGGAACAACAAAAACCATGCTCTCACTTGGGAGGTTTTGCTAAGGAATTAATTCTAATGAAGCTAAGCACGAAGAACACCACCAAGTTTTACCTAAGCTAGAATAGGGGATCCAAGACTAGATGGACAATGAAGCCTAAATCTAACTTAGGGCAGTTCTCTCGAAGTGAGAGCAGATGCCTCCATCACTTGCTGGGATGGCCTCCCAACAGTAAAGAGTGCCTTGTCTCCCATAATGTAATTTTGCTAACACAGGGTTGACACACACTCAGTTTTAAAGGCTTATGCATTCTTTTTTATAATTATATAAACTACACCACAAGGAAAATCATGTGCATTTCCTTCTGTTAATTTCATTCTAGATGTATTTGCTTCAGCCAATTCTTTAAGACCCAAGATTCAAGTGATTTCTGTCCTGTGGTTTTCACCTAGTACTAAACTCTAATACTGTAGTATTTTCCATGCAGCAACTACTATAATTTTCAATGAGTTTACAAACCCCTGTTTTAAGCAAGCCACCTCTTTGCCTGTCTCTTTCCAACTGCCCAATCAATCAACCCATCTAGAAACCACTATCCCTAAGATGTACACTCCACATAACCATTACATCTGTATTCAAGACCCTGCTGTTGCATGGATAAGTGATCACATAATGAAATTTACTGCCAATGCTAAGTAATTATATGAGGGAAAATACATAGCAGTCATATATAGATTTTCTCTTTTACTTTCTTAGAAAAAAGAATACTGGACCTTTCTTGTTCAATGATGACATGCTAATGGCTAGTAGTATATATTATAAAACAAGCCTGTAAAATACTTGCTTCTATCCAAAACACCTGATCATCAGTTTTAATTGTATTTTCCAATAACGTAGCTATTTGCCAGATAGACAATCAATCTACTGTTGTGGAAAAATTCCTGCCAAATAGAAAAGAAATTTCTCCATACACTTATTAGTGGGACTGAATGCAATGCAAATGTCTGATTACTGCAGGCTTGGAATTTTCTGATTCCTCTTTGTGTTTCATCTTAGTAATTCCTCTTTGTGTTTCATCTTATATTCTATTGCCTCAATATATTAACTTCTACTTAAAGTTCAATACTAGCATGCAAAGCTCAAAAATAATAGAGCATTACTCCTGAGTCACTGGAATAACCAGTGAGCTCTCTTTTGGCTGAACTCTGTTGTCAAGTTCATCAGGAACCCTATTGGCAGATGCTCTTCGGAATAAAAAAAGGTCTGCTCCTCAACATCCTCAGTTTCCCTTTCAATCTTTCACCTGAGTTGTCGATACAGGAGCGGGGTTCTAGGCCCTGCTTCAATTCAATAGCCAGTATCTCTTTCACAAAGGAACATGGGCAGGTGTGAGTCTGGATTCCTGGTCTGTTCCTACTAGTTGAAAGATTTTGTTTCCTACCTTGAAGACAGTGTGCAGGGCTTCTTTCAGGACATGCCAGTCAGTGAACGTAAGTCACTCATTACTGTTCCATATTTTAGTGTTAGACACAACAGTTAAGACAGATACTTTCTTAAGAAACCTATAAACCTTATGGGAAATGCAGATGAGAGAAAACCAAGAAGCCTGAGAGGACAGAAGGAGTTAGACTGCAGGGGAAGTGGGAAAGCAAAGAGACAGAGAGTCTTACATAGTGATGGGCAAATCCCTATAGCAGCCCTGTATGCCATATTTAAAGTGAAGAATCGGTCTTTCAAGGAGTGGAAGCAGAGGCAGAATTCACTCACACTAGGTGCTGCTAGCCCCTTCCCTTGCTGATTAACTTGACCTCATGTGTTCCTGTGTTGCCCCCTTTCTGGTTCAGACTCTTGCCCTTTTGTCTCCTACACAGCATGAGGATCCCAATCAGATGCACATTTCGACCTTGGATTTCCCTGCCCGTGTATCTATAAAAAGCAAACCTTTGTTCTTCATTATTAGTTTACCTGCTATATTAGTATAGCACACAAAAGCGAGTAAGAATACAGAACTGTAGAGATGCTCTAAACCTAAATATGAATTTCAAATAGAGACATCTCATTGATACAGAAACCCAATTACATGACCAACAATACATACAGCTTTAATGCACACAGAAACTGATTTTCCTCAGGACGTAACATCATAGTGGGCATGCAGTAACTGTATAACTATTTCTAATAAAATTATTCAAATTGAAGTCAATGCCCAGTAAACAAGTCCATTTAAATGCATCAATGATGGTAGCTTGCCAAATGGTGTTATAAAATTTTCATTCACACTTTGTTCAGTCAAATATGAATGTTAACTTACTCCAAAAATAGTTCTGTGTACAATCTATAACAATATGACCCCTTAAACGGGTATTAATACATTTAAATGCAAAGTATAACCTTGGAGACATGTCCTTAAAACCTATGAGGACAAATATTTGCACAGGCCAAAAATGACTATGACGATCCACTATTTTTTTCATAGCTGACCTGCATGCATGAGGGAATATCAGGACACACACAAGGTCAGCCCCAGCAGGAGGGCATGCCAAGCACCTGACTGCAGAGGGTGCACAGGGACTGAGAACACAGCCTCCAGCTGCATACTTACGCAACTAAGAGTGCATCCTATTTTGCATCTATGGCCTCTCTAGAACGGAGGAAAAGTGCACGGAATGTTCCAAAACTAACGCTTGCAGTGCTGGCAGAAATACTGCCGCAGTAAGTAATGGGAAAGACTACAGCACTCTTCAGCGAAGTGGTGCTATCGCCTACCCAGGAGTACGTGAGACCTAATTTTTAACTTTGTGAAGCAGCATGGGGAATATTTGCATTCCTCATGAAGTCTGACACTGCCTTTCTGAACTGTGACTGAAAATTATCACAGGACTACTTAGCACACACTTTATCAGAGCTATCAAAAATTATCATGTTACTATTTAGCTACAGCAGTACTGATTGCCCATGCGTCATGTTCTCAACGTTGTGACAGCACAGTTATGTGGACAATTTCATTTTCACTGATTTAACATAAACAGACGTGAAGCTTTCCGATTATCCTTATATAAACGGATTCTCCAGATCTGTAAGACACTATGGTATATGCCATGTGTTCAGCATATCATTCACATGTTACTATAGTTACATTTAAACAATCGTTTTTGCATGGGAACTAGATCTTTCTTTAAGTTGTGGTCTGTGGGAATGTTGCATGCTGAGCATTAGTGCTACCGCATATTTACAAGCTTCATGAAGAAAACAGCTGAGTGTGGTCACACACGCCTGGAATCCCAGCATTCAGGCAGCCAAGGCATGAGGCAAGAGAATCATGAGCTCAAGGCCTGCCAAGGATACAAAGTGAGAACTTGTCTTTAAAAGATAAAAAAGGAGCCAAGCTACAATCAAATTTATCTGTTCTTAACAATGGTCTGTTAACTATCATCAGTCATTATAAATATCATCATCGACATCCTTAGCATCATCACTGTAAACATCATCACCATACTACAATTATCATTATCATCACCATCATCACCTCCCTTCTCTAATCTCTTAATTGAACATTTTTAAAATGCATTAGTCAATAATTAACTTCTTTGATTGTATTGTTTTATCTTATCTATGTAGCAAAGCATATGTGGTGATGAATCTTATCTCTATGCATAAACCCCAAAGCCAGAACTTGCTACCATCATCACTTTAAATCTGCATTTTAAAGTCTCAGTAAATAGGTGTGTCACTGTCTTTACTGCTGTAATTGCTGTGTTGTCCTAGGCCAACCAGCTCAGAATAAGAAAACATCAGATCCAGACTGCCTGGGTTCAGAAACTGAGTCTGGTCCCCACCACTGTGCCATTCCAACTCTGGGGTTGTCAAAGATAATTCCAACATAAAGGCTAACACTCACTTGGGCTTAATGCAGGCTGTCTTAACTTACTAATGAGTACACAGAAATAGTCACAATTAAACATATGCTCTGACATCTTTAGTTTACATATGATTAAAGTAAATAAAAGCCTCAGTTTTCTGCCTGGAATTCAACATCGTTCTTTCACATCTTTCTTTCTAGGACATCCTACTGATTAGTCAGAGGTCAGCAAGCCTTAGCTGGCATGCCAAATCTGTCCCATCCCTTGCTTTAAAAACAAAGTTTTACTGGAAATAGACCATGTACATTCATACACAAATACTATACTTATATATTCCTTATACCACAAAGGAAGGCTAAGTAGGTGTAACTGCAACACTGTGATCCATAAAGCCCAAATATTTAGCCTTTCAGAGAAAGTCAGTTAATGGTTCTATCGGGGCATCCAACATTTTGGCTTCTCTGTGACACACTGGATAAAGAATTACCTTGGGCCACATATTCCAGGAAGTGTCCAAACTATTACCCATTGGTTATGAAACCGATTCTGTGTGACACTGCTGTTCTAGACCACATGAGGCTGGCCTCTCCTGTGTAAAGTCTAGTTTAGTAAACATACACTACCATTAGAGTGCTGGATTCTTTCTGAACACTAGCCTTCCAAAAGTAGTACATGGTTCAATTAGTAGGAAGATGCTCTGCAGAACCTAGTGCAACCCAAGACCCCAAATTCCCACTTACTCATCATGCTACTCTCTAACCACCATGAAAGCCAAGTCTCTTGTAAACCTTTCTTCTGTGCAGTGAAACAGTCCACATTCCAAAAGAATACAGTCAACTGCTGCTTCCTCCCATTAGGCCTTCCCAGACTATAGCAGCCACAGAAATGATCCCTCTACAAATGCCTTGAGCACTCTGGTTCTTTCCTTATGATTCTTAATGCTTTTTGTCCTTAAGTTTATCAACAAAACTAAATCTACTTTTACAACCTGTAGGAAGTCTAGCACCATGCCTGACATGCAGGAAGCACTTAATATTTACCTAGAGAATCAATGAATGTAGATTTAAAAACAACACTGCAGCATTCCAGGCTGCTTGTACTTATATCTATTTACTTGTTTTTAGAGGTTTGTTTTATTTTCAATTACATGAACATGTAAGCGCAGGTACTGTTGGAGGACAGAAAAGTACACAGCATCAGATTTCCTGGAGCTGGAGTTATAAGTAACTGTGAGTCCCCTGAAGTGGGTATTGGGAACTAAATGCAAGGTCCTCTGCAAAAGAAGTACACTCTTACTGCTGAGCGAGCTCTCCCAGCTGCTCCAGCTTCTATCTTTAAGTAAAATCATTTAAAGAGTTATTTTCTTAATTGTTCACTAGATAAGAATCCACCATAATCTAAAGAACAGAAATGCCTAGCATTTCTTTTTGGTATTTTTAGCCACATTCATTATGAAAACAAATTCTAAAAGCAACTAAAATTAACAATTAAGTACATTTAACATTTCATTAATATCTTAAAGAATAAATCTAACATTTGAATTACTCATATCACATGTATTAGTTTGCTAGAATAGAATACTTTACAGTGACAGTAAACAGTCCAGAAAGTTTAAGAAATTAAGAATGAATCAAACAACCATGTTCAAATGTGACAAATTAAAAGAGAGAGACCACTTATGTTTCAAAGTTTGAAGTTCATTCTATTAGTGAACTCAATAAACAATTCCACCACTGTAGAAATAATGTAACTTTACTGTAAATGCTATGATGATATGAATTCAGTCCGGAATCTGTAAAGTCCTCTATGTAGTTAGTTACATAACAGACATTATCAGGCAAAAGGCACTTGGAATTCTCAAGGACCCACCCCAGACTGACACCCACCTGCATCACCTTCTGCTGGATCTCCTCCAACTGTGTTCGCTTACTGCGCTGCCTGCAGACTTCCTGGTAGCGCGTGTACTGCTCCCGGAGTGAATCTAACAACTTCATAACCTGTGGCTGTGCGAGCAGCTCATCATCCATAGGAGACCACGAGACCCCTCCATCAGAGCCATTAAATCGACGCTGCTGTAATTCAGATAACAACTCATGCCCTTTACAAACGAAAGATACTTGTAATTAATGCCCACAAAAAATACAATCCCTACATGTTGATCTTGTACATTATAGTCCCTGCTTTAAAACCTATTCCCTTGCCTTCTCATAAAGAATGAAATGCAAGTTAAAGCTTTATATATCACATTGAGTAGGAAAACTACATATGTGCATACAGATGAGAACATAATCATTTTATATATACTAGAAAAAAACACTGAAACAAATGGCCAATTGTGTAACTATTTATACCCTATATGCCATAGTCAATGTAGAATATAGTGGTAATCTATATTTATCAGATTCTTGGTGGGATAGTTACTCAAGCTTTGTGTCCATAAATCATCTTTCTCTGTGGAGCAAAATTATACTCTGGGATTTCCTTTAGTAACTGAGGAAATGTGTGAGAGGGTTTCAGCACCCTGCTCTCAAGCACAGCACTTAAGATAAAAGTTGCTGTGAAGCAAACCCATTATCAAAGTAACTGAAGAAAAATTTTATGGCCAAAATAATACTAAAATAAATCTCTGCAGAATGTCTACAACATACTGACTGATGAGTGAACATGCTCTGAAGATTAGGTCTCCACAAGTCCCTCACTCTGGATCAGGCAGACCTTGAACAAGTTATCTTCCCGACCCCGCCTCCTAGGAACTGTGCCACCAGACCCGGAGTAACTGTTAATGCTTCAGTTTTACCCCTCTTGAAAATGATGTAGTAACAAGACCTACCTCATGGACTGTGCTGAAGGATAAAAACACATGGAGAACTTAGATTTGTGCCTGTAGCCCAGTAAGACTGGAAGTATGAGCTAGTAGTTTTTGAGAAGATTAGAAACAAAGCTACATATTCCATTTAAAGGATTCCAATGCATTCTGCTAGAATTGATGGATCTCTCCAACAGACACGGGGCTAGCACACACGCAGCATGAAGCATGGGTCATCAGTGCACAGGGCCACTGTCAAGGGCTTAGGGTTTCACACAGATGACTACAAACTGCTGTAAATGGTGCCTCTGTACTTAGACCTGCTTTGAGTTGTAGTGATAAATTTTCTTAATTGACTCTGAACCACTTATTTACTTAGGTTATTTTTTTAATCTCTAAGCCTTCAGTTCTTGAAGTATAAAAGAGACAATAATACTAATTATCTCCAACACTGTTGAGAGAATACAGCACATAGCAAGTATTCAATAATCCTCATAACAACCCCATGAGGTAAAATTAAATACACTTTGCAAAATCCATTTTATAAAAATGAAATAAATCCAGCATTTCTAGGAGATAATTTGTCATTAATAATTTTTAAATATTATACCAACACCACCAAGTTAATACTAAAGCAGTTTGAAAACTTGCCTTTAAATTCCACATACATTAACCACATACATGCTGAACAAATTTTTAAAGAGACTAAGACTCTTTACTAGATTATTATTATTAATAATAAATGTTGTTTTTCTTTTCATCATTTTACCTGTCTGAAGAACTGTCTCAGGATCAACAGACGGAAGGAAGTTTAAATCCACAGACCTGGAAGGCATCAAAAGAATCACTTTCAAATGCTGTGATATCCCTATGAATCCACTTCAGAAATTGTTTTACACACAATGCATGTATTCCAGAAGGATCGATGCTAACTTCTTACCAGATCACTAAAGAGCCAACACCAATGTTCCTCAAAACTGCTCAATAACTTAGGAAGTGATTACTATCAAACTCATCTTATGAAGCCAAAACTAGAGAGGAACACAGCTAAAAGAGAACAATTTCCCTGAATGAAAACAAATGTATAAAATCTTTGATATAATATTTGCAAACCAAATTCAACAACACATTAAGAGGATTATATACTTAACTGCCAAGTTGGGCTAGCTTCATAGCAAATATAAGAATGGTTCAAAATACATAGTTAAGTAAGTTTAATATAGAACACAAGGAGACAAGAGTTTCCACTCTCTTCATTCTTAATCAAAACAGTGTCTGAAGTCCTAGCTAGAGCAGTGACAGAAGAGAAATAAAGGGATATAAAAGGAGATGAAAAAGTCAAACTGTCCCTTAATGAAGATGACATGATCCACGATCATATAACTAAAACACCCTACAGAGCCAACCAGAAAAGTCTTAGACCTGCTAAAACATCTTCAGCAAAGGAGTAGGAGGCAAAAAAAAAAAATCAATCTGCAAAAACAACTGACATACATTCATATATGCATGCATGTATGGTGTACTAGCAGTTATACTTCATGCCTTCCCTACTGTGGTCCTATTTCTTGGGCAGCTGGATTTCTGCCTTCACTTTCTGAAACATGTGAGAAACAGAAAAATTCAAGACAGAGGAGCTAGCAAATCACAGCCAAAGACCATACTGCTATCCGCTGAACTAATAAACCCTATAATTTATTAACTGGCCCATGCCCTCATCTCTCGGGTAGCCAAGATGCTCCCTGAGGGCTAACACAATGAAGGCTGATCAAAATTTGCAAGAGATGGATGGGATTCTATTACCTGAGTATTGAAAAAACCAAACAAATAGCATTTGAGTGTGCAAAGAAACTGGCAAGCACAAGATTTTATTAATACTTCATGTAGATATACAAGTCAGCATTTTTCAAAGTCTTTCTCACAACACTAAAAACGCTTTAGTAGAGAAAGGGAATGGGGCCTTGAGCTATCGCCAGAAAAGCATGGGGAGGTCTAAAGAAGCAGTGAAACAGGCTTCTTTGATGCTGTGCTTCCTCGGAGCCCTTAAGCCAGGCTCACAGCCATCAGCAGGGATAGAAGGCAGCATTAAACTCTGTCCATCAACTCATTTTCTGTGGGTCCCCTCTCCATATGCATGTCTTTCCTGAGAAATAAAAGTGTGTGACAGCTATATATGAAACACATACTTAGCCATGTACGTATGTATGTATATATGTACATTTTTACATGGTGTTGTGGAACTCTGTTGCTCAAGCAGGAGATGTTAATTGCTGTCCTTTACCATCAAGAGACTGTCGTAAGACTAGCCCACTAGCATTCTCCTATGAGAGGAAGAGGGTGTGTCAGACAGTCCAAGAGGCCTCTCTCGACCTGCAGGACACACAAGGGGTTGGCACTTGCTAAACAGAGAATCTCTTCTTTGTAATATAGCTGCTTACAAGTTGCCTACTATCTTGTAAGGACCATGTCACCCATGATCCCCTAAATAACCTAAATAAAATTATTGGTTCACCAAGATAGACATGCTGAACTATGATTCTAGTGGGTCACTGGTGCTCTGTCTGGGATGAAAAGACACTGTCTGTGCCTCCATGTGAGAAGCCACACAACACAGGCTATGTACAAGACATTAACATTTGTGATTATCTATGGTATCCTCAATTAGACTGAAATTCAAACTATTTGTTTTTACATTCTGAACTCATTTTACTCAACATTTAGTAAAAGTATCATCCTCTTATATCCATGTGACCATGTTATTTCAGCTGACACATGACCATATTTACATTAATAGGTTCCAATGGAGGTTCAAGGTCAGATGTAAATGAAATGAAAATGCCTGTTGATTTCTGCAAACTTCCTAAGAAAAAAGTACAGTTCTAGTGACCACTGACACTCAAAAGTTCAGGGGTGACCTGTATCTTAATGTGCTTTAGCTTTAGGTAGAAAGACACCTGTCTCCCAACCAACAAGGGAAAAGTGGCCACAAAGGGCAATGAACACACTGGTAAGTCAGTAAGGGAGCAAAGCCACAGCTTAATGACACAACTCAACTGTATGTCAAGTGTGACGAAATGCCAAACTCCTTACGTTGAACTCACAACTATCATGTTTCTAGACAAGAATTCTTTATTGGTACTGATAAATTTCAATAAAGTTGGAAAATTTTTATTTCAAGCTGCAGGTGTTTTCAGGAAAAGGCAAAACCAAGAAGAGCAGAAAATGTCTTCATTTTCAAAGCACATTCTTATAACACAATGCTTCCCAGTGCAAGGAAAAAAGAATGCAGCCAGGCTCATCAGAAAGTAGCTTTCAGAAGCCAACTTAAGTCAAATGAATGTCATATGTGCAAAGCAACTGCTCACTAGCTGTGTGGCACTCTTGAGCAGAGCTTTGTTCGCCATGGTCCTCTTTACTTGAGCCAGCAGCACAGGCAGCCCTCACCAGACGACGCCCACCTACCTTTCTTTCTCCTGCTCATTCCCCTTATCACTTCCATTGTTAATCAGAGCAAGTTCATCTAGTAATGACGTGGACTCCTTTGTAAACTTCTCAAAGACCTGCAATAGTAGATTGTATAGACATGCCATGAATAATCTCAAAATCAATACGTAATAAGGACTTCAGTTAACAGCAACAGCATTAGTCACTGGGATTTCTTTTCCTTCCCAGCAAGTCACATGGTGCAATTCAACTGCCAGCGACCACAACAGTGCAGAGCCTGGAACAAAATCATATCTCAAGTAGTAAAGAGTTTTAATGGCAACAGAATTTTCAAATACATTAAATTATTCAAACTTCATTTATTTTAAAAAATTATTATAATTTATAAATATAATGTATATATTGACTAATACAATTTATTTCAACTTAGTTCCATTCTTAGCCTTCTTTGAAAAACATCAGTAACAAATTTTACAACTACACAAATGTTACTGAGACCAGTGGTAGCCATCGATTCTACTTACAGACCATTTTCTCACCTTACTCTATCACCAGTCGATACTGGTCATATGAAATAATCAAGAGTTTTACAGACATGTATGTATTATAAAGATACATTACTTATAATTTTAACATAAGTATTTTTGAGAAGGGATTTGGGCACATCTGAACACTAGCAATAAAGTAGACATACACTTGTCTGACAGTCTGACAAGTCACTGTTAAGATACAGGGCAGGAATGGTTATTCATTCAGGGATAACCAAAGTTCCCTGAAGTTAGCACACAATCTCAAGAAGCTACTTTAGAGTCCATTCTCTCCACAATTCAGTAAAACAATGCTGTGTGACACAGAGCAGCATGTCTAAGAGATCTGGACAAGCAGAAGTTTTCTGAAATGACAAGCTTAGTTTGTCATACTGCACTGCAGGTTGATAACTCACATGATGAGTATTTTCTGAAATGGCTGTGTCATCAAGATCACCTCTCAAGACATTGGCTACTGTCACTCTACCCTAAGAGCAATCTTACCAATCCTGACCCAACGGTAGCAACTAACACAGAATGCTACTGTACCCTGCTGGATGGATCTCAATGTTTCCAGATCCATATTCATTTTGTCTTGCTCACAATTGCACAAGATAATATTATTGCTACTACTATTACTGTCTTACAGATATGAAAACTAAGACGTGGGGAAATTAAATACATCAATGAAGGTCACACATCCAAATTTCTAGCATCAGGACTCAACCAAGTGACCCTGACTACAGAGTGTAGGCTCCAAACAATACACTACTATCACACACAAACATAAATACACACACACACACACACATATACACGCACACACAAAATGTGCTTTTATGTTTTTATAAAAACAACCTACATCTTAGTTGAATAAAATTAGAAAATTATTGAAACATATTCATATGCAAAGACATTTGATTATCTCGTTTTATAATAATATACCAACCAGCCTCTTATTTAGCCAGTCCATGTGATCATAGGTAAGACTCCCACCAAAGTCTTCTGTCAATTGGCATGGCTCTATGTAACGAGTCAACTTATTGGCAGACACTAAAATAACCTACAAAGGAAAAGATAAAAATGCTAAGTAAACTTTTAAAGTCTCTGAAGGTAAATAAGGAGTTAGAATTAAGGTAAAACATCCAAACACTGCTTCAAAATGATAGCAAATTGTCATCTATTTAGTTAATGCAACAACATTTCCAATCAATTCAATAAACTATGGTTATCTTCTAAAAACATCTATCAAAATTTCTGATGATACCAACACTTTAAAAAATACTAACAGCTTAGATACCTATTTTAATACTTTAGCAATATTGATTATCCATTGGTAATGAAAACATTTTCCTTAAAAATCATATGAAAAAAATATATCAGTTTAAAAATTAGCTGTTTGTACTAAAATGAAAATGAAATATTTTCTCAGTAAATCCTGTAGAAATATATACTCCTAGCATCCAGACTATGACATCCAAACACCATTTCTCAATGAAAGGAACCATACCAATAAAGGCACTGACGAAGTATGCATAAGAGCACCATCTCACCCAGGTCACTAAATACTGACAGGGACCACTATTGCAGCACAAAGAGGCCTGAAAAGATCTTCTGTGACTAAAGATGTCAGTAAAAATACACTGGACTGAAACATTGACTGATTTAAATCTGAGAACTTAAACAATAATCTTCAGGCTAAGCCAAGGGAGGAAGCCATTATGCTGGAGGCCAGCAGCAGAGGATGTAAACACCGGCAGCACCTTTCACAAGAGGGACCAAAGGCAGGCATATAACAAGAGAGGGCAAGTCTCTCACTCTGCACACACCCCAGAAAGCACATGGAGAAAATACAGTTGAACTAAGAGATGGAGAAACTGAATGGCACGACTATTAACAAAAAGATGATGGTCAATGACTGAGTCTCATTATCAAGGAACACATCACTAGGAGAGCAGCCTTGGGGGGAAATCAAATTGGAATGTGACTGTGGAAATCCAAGTGTCAATTTCTGGAAATAAAGCTAAAGATGGTAAAAAGTGTGTTCAGTATACCACAGGATGCTCACTGTGATGTGTCCACAATGGGAAATGCTGCATCTGTCCAAGATGCAAAAGATGGAAGCTGGTATGTCCAAGAATGACAACAATGTGTGAAAAGAAAAAGGAAATGAAGGTTAAAAAGCTTCCCATATGGAAAAGCCCATAGCCCTGTGACCAGCAGCAGGATTGCACATTCGTTCCCAAGAAGCAGACGCCATTCAAAAACCTTCTGTGCATGCACCACTCAAAACCTTGGCAGATGAAAACAAAGCAACAATCGAACTGAATAAATAAAAGGAATTTCCAAAAACACAAAATACTGCTAACAACATTTCCAAAAGAGTAAAACTTAATTTCTCCTGAGCTGTACTTGGACTATGAGTGACCACAGCCTGAAGCACAGATTCAGGATGCCCCAAATAATGTATGCCTATGTATAGGCAGTTACTCAGACTTTATAGACACAGAAGAAAAGAAAGTGATTAATTTAAGGCCTTTGTCAATCAAAGTTATCTGATAATGTTCTTAGCTTTCAGGTTGGTGGAAGCCAGTGGCCTGCTGTTAATATATTCTGAAGGTTTTTACCTATAGTTGAAATCTGTAGATCATACACAGAGGTGAGCTATTCAGGGGGTTAAAGACAGCCCAAAGTAATTTGGCTCTAAATTGACAACATTCCAACTTTCCACAAAGTTCTAATAAACTTCTATAAAAACTGAAAAGATGAATTGTCACCAGGGGTGTTCTTGACAAAGGAACATAAAGGAAGCTTTTGGTCCTGGGTCTCACCACAGCGAACCTCAAGAAAGGTAGTAAGAACAGAGAAGAACACAGATTTGATTAAATATACTTTTATTACTATGAACATTTACAGATAAGAAGGGGTGGAGGCAACGTTCTGATTTTTAGCATCTCTGTTTGAAGACAGGATTAATGCCAGTTCTAGTCTTGTCATTAATATACAGACATCTGTCAGTCACTGGTGAGATGCTGCTGAGGGGAAGAAGGAACTTGAACATACTGCTAGTGGAAAGGAAGCAGGACAAAAGTCGGTATGGATTTCAGACAGGATGGATACACGGAGAAATACTGAGGTTAGCAATGAAAGGGACATTCAGTGGACAATAAAGGGCACTGCAAAGTGAGTAAGAGACATATCACCAAAAGGAAAAAGTCACACAGGTGGGAAAATGAGAAATCACGTGCGAACAATTGGCAGAACCACTAGGTGTTCAGCTGATTAACACTGTGGAAAGCTGGTATAAAACTTTAATATATTGTATATAAAATTCTGTGAAGTAAAGCACTTAGTCATGCTTACAAGAGCATCAGTATTTGTAACAGAATTATACTGTTAAAAATAAGAATATCTACAAAGACATAGGCTTTTTTTATAAAAGCCCAAATTATTAAAAATGACTCCAAGGAAATTAATTTTCAATTAAATAAGAATCAATGTTGAATTTAATTCTATCTCTAAGCTCTAAGTACCACTTAATAGCTGGTGCTGAACTTCCCTTTAAAGTTGAATATGTTTAGTAGCAAAATAACCAGCATTTGAAATTAGTCCTATCTCTTTAGGACATGTGGACTTTAGTAAGCGCAAACTAAATCTCCTCATTGTCTAAGAGAACATACACTGCTACGAGAAGCTTCACTCATCAAACCTTCCATTTTAAGTCAAACACTATGACATCAGACCAAAGCTTTTCTTTCTTTTATCCTCCCAGATGCCAGGAACTGTTCCTTTACACAGGAGCAGACACTGCTGCCTAAGTAGGATGTGACAGGTTTCCATAAAAGGCACTGGATTTCCCTGTTCTGCTCACAGCTGAGTTTGAACAGCTGGCACCTGTTCACTTTGCAGTGTCACAGAGTAGTGTTTTCTGCAGATCCTCACTAAGAACTACGAGTCTGAAGTGCTCGCTCTCCCCTGTGTCAACTGCAGCATTCGGGGTTTGTTGGCCTCAGCTTCTTGGGATGTGGTTTCCTGCCCAAACTGTTAGGAGAATACTCTGTACTAGCCATCTTCTGACTAGCACACATCTCTCCACTAAGTCCACATAACAGTCAAATCTATCAATGGCAAGGTTGCCAGAATAAGTGGGGAGAAATCCCTGGTCTCTACTTAGTATATAGAAAGCTAGAAAGAGCACTGCTCCAACCAAAGAACTACAGAGACATCTGAAGCCTGTCATGCACTGGGGAAAATAAGAAAACAAAGCCAAGAGCTGAATCAACTTGTGGCAACTGCAACTCAACACTTTCCCTACCTGCTAAAACCCAAAGAAAAGATTCTTTGGTTACTATATAGACACAAATGTTATTTAGCTCGATTTTTACTATTTTAAAATCATACTAGAAGCGGGGTGTTGGTGGCGCACACTTTTAATCCCAGCAATCAGGAGGCAGAGGCAGGCAGATCTCTTCGAGGCCAGCCTGGTATACAGAATGAGTTCCAGGACAACCTCCATAGCAATACAGAGAAGCCTTGTCTCGAAAACCCAAAAAGTACCACCATCAAGACTCAAACAATACAATAATGATGTGTCAGGTATCTGGGACTAAGCAAGTTGCTATGATGCGGAGACCAAAAGGTCATGGGCACAGACAAAAAACAGGCTCCTCGCTTAGGGTCCAAAGGAGCTGGAATATTGGATACTACCCCACGTATCAAAATCTAGATATTCAAGTTTTCTAAGTATAGTGTTACTGCATTTGCATATAGCCCACATAAGAATCATAGATTACTTATGATACTTTATAAAATGCAAATGGTGGATAAACTTGTCAAAGTGTATGGTTTAGGCACAAAGGCTATATTCAGAACAGAAAGAAGTGTGTGTGTATTTGTGTTTGTCTGGGTTTTTGTTGCTGTTGTAGTTGTGTGCTTGTTTGTCTGTTTGTCCAATGCACATGCCATTATAAAATGCAGGCCAGAGGACAACCTTGGATGCCACTCCTCAGGACCTCAGGTGCCATTTACACCTCTTTTTTTTTGTTTGAACACAGGGTCTCTCATTGGCATCCAGGCACCAGGTAGACCAGGCTGGCTGACTAGCCGGCCCCAGGTATCTGTCTATTTCCCCCTCCCCAGGAACGGGACTACAATTATGTGCCATGTGTCTGGCTTTTTCTCTTGGGCTTCATTCTTATACTTGTACAGGAAACATGTTAGCAATGGAGCCATCTCCTGACCCAAATATTTTCATATTCGACTTGAATCCGTGATTGTAAATACTTGGATGGAAAGCTGGGTATGCAAGAATCTGTATAGGGATGCTACACAGAATAGCCATGGCAGCAGATGAGGAAATTTTCCAGTGGTCTTGTCAACAAACTCAGCACAACCAAAAACAGGGCCTTAAAATGGATCCAAATTGAAAAAGCTCCAAAAGAGAAAACACCCAAGCTGGGCTGGGAACACAGCTCCATAACAGAGCACTTGTCCACCATTCACAAGGCCCAAGTTCAATCCCCAGAACTTAAAAAAAAGAAAGAAAGAAAAAGGAATATGAAGGGGATGACACAGGGTTTAAAATAAAACAGAAGACCAAATAAGAAAAGTGAGAAAATTCAAATTATCCCCTTGGATATATAGTTATAATCCCAGAAACACAGAAAGCAGGGGTACAGAGATATTTCAAATCAAAATGTCTGAGAATTTTCAAAATTAATGGATATGACAGTCCAGAGATACAAGAACTACAGAGACTCCCAAATAAAATACATACCACGTGAAAGATCTACCATAGGAAATGAAAGCGCTGAAAACCAAAACCAAAATGCAATCTGGAAGGTGTCTAAAGGGAAAGAGTGACCTAAACATACAGGACCAGGACTCATAGCAGACTCCGTGCAAAAAAAAAAACCCTGAAAATAAGCGTGGCGTACACAGATAACACACTCTGCGGTCTCCAGCGGCCTAGTACTTGCTACATTTCCTCTTCATAATCATTGAAAACTTCCTATACAAAGGCTCTAGCTATCTAGGACTTAAAGAGTATATAAATGGAAATAAAGCTTTTACAGTTTGTGAAAAAGACACAGTCATTCAACAAGTGTGAGTGCTGAGAATGAGCTAGTTATGGTACAGCAGGCACAAAGCAACACTGCCAAGCAACAACAGAGCATACACAATAATATCAGAAAAATCTATTTTCAAAGATTGTATTTACCTCAAAGCCAAGTCTATCCTTTTCTTTCCAAAAACAAAAATGTGTTACTTTCTTATCCCAAAATTCATCTGGCTTCACTACACATACAAGGGATACTTCAGCTGGAACAACATTCTGCAAAACATAGAAAAATAAGTACAAATTACACATGCAAATGACTTACTAAATGTGCAAATTACTAGACACTTGTGATTATGTTACAATACTTGGAAAAGAAATCAAATAATAAGGTAGAAGAAACTCCAAAACCTAAATGGCAATAAAGAAAGACAAGCCATTTAGAAAAGTTTTCCAACAGTTCTAAACAAACCATACCTGTCAATCACATTTGTTATACACAGTATCCCTGCTGGAAGTATGGATTAGATTAAACCATGAGACTTACATTTTAGCTAAGAAACTATTAAAACTGGTTTTTCTATAGTATGAGACAAATATTTTCTAGTACCACCATCATGAAGAATTTCTTCAAGAAATGAGAAATTTATTTTCTCACAAAGTCTGTTTCTTATCTGCCATTACATTAAAAGTCAGCATTCTTAGTGATTATTAACTGGAAGAAGGGGAAAAAACTACCTTTTGATGCAACACAATTTCACATTTTCTAAAATGACCAAGAGTGGTGGTTCCGGTACTTGGTAGGCACTTCTCATTAATCAGGAAGACGCATAGAAGTCTAACATCTGCAATCTAATCATTCAGTTCTGCCAGTGTCCCAAACTCACTTCCTGAAATGCCTGCAAAGGCCGCACGGCCTAACACTGTCTGGGGTCAGCACGCCTTGCCAGAGCTGCCCATGTCTTCCAAGCCGGATCCCTGCTCACTCAGATCCCACTGTGCACCTCCTCCTCAAGCCATTCCTCCACCATCGTGCTGAGCTCAAAGCTCCCAGAATGCAAGTCTGAGCCGGCCCCACATTTGCCCCTCCACTTTCTCTGCCCAGGATCTTCTTCATTCTGTGCTCTGTACTGAGAGCTCCCTCTTAAAGAGGCTTTTCCTGCCATCTGGAGTGTGTGTGTGTGTGTGTGTGTGTGTGTGTGTGTGTGTGTGTGTCTGTCTGTCTGTCTGTCTGTCTGTCTGTCTGTCTGTCTGTCTTTGTATGTGTATATGCAGTGTATGCGTCTCTGTGTGTGTATCTGTGTCTTGTGTGTGTATCTGTAAAAGTGTATGTGTGTCTGTGTGTGAGTATATCTGTGTATGTGTAGGTGTGAGTGTATCTCTGTATGAGTATATCTGTGTATGTATAGGCATGAGTATATCTGTGTGTGAGTATATCTGTGTGTATAGGTGTGAGTGTATCTGTGTGTGCCTGTATGTGTATATGTGTTGAGTAGATCTGTGTATCTCTTGTGTGTGTGAGTGTATCAGTGTATGTGAGTGTATCTGTGTGAATATGTGTGTTTAAGTGTATCTGTCTGTATGTCATCTGTGTGTCTGTGTATCTGTAAAAGTGTGTGTACATCTGTGTGTACAAGTGTATCTGTGTGTGTATATGTCTGTGTGTGTATCTATGTGTGTGTATCTGTGTGTGTGAGCGTGTGTGTGGTCTACATCTGTCTTAGCTCTCATCACCAGTTAATGCTGCTCATTAATTCCTTAACTGCTCACTGCCTGACTTTTCAATGGCACACGAGCTTCCCAATGGCAGGAATCTTATCTATGAATGCCACTCTATATGCTCGGTGTCTGGCATACTGAAGCCATCTCCCTCAGGCAACTGTAGCTTAGAGTTTGAGGAAATGAAGCCAGAACAGAAGCCAGGGGTGTCTGACTCAGTCTCACCACAGTTTCACATGCTCTAACCCAAGTCAATATACTACTCCTAAAAGGTCCAGATGAAAAATATATTAGACTCTGAGGGCCAGACAGACAGCTTCTGATATTTATTTAAACCCAAGCCAACCACTACACTAAACTATTGAGGGCCACACCAAGTTATAATTTTTAGGAAAGAGATGGAAAATGATCATTCCACAGCATCATGTCAATGGGCACAGCAGAAATTTGGTGCTCACTCCTGTAATGGCGAGGATGTAGCTAAAGCAAGCAAGACAAACTCAGCTGTGTCAAACCCTCATCAGAGAGGCTGCAAAGTTCAGGGTGTGGTTCATTCAGTTCCTGACCTATGGAAAACCAGTATTTCAAAGTCCCTGGACAGGAAAGCTGTGAGTGCAAAAGAAACAGGGGCCCTCTTTCAGAACATGAGTGACAGGCAGAGCTTCTCTAGGGGAGCTGGGGAGCTCCAAATAGCTGGCCCCAGACCTGAGATCAAAGCAGCGAGTCACTTCCTGGCTAGAGATAGTTAACTAGGAGAAAATGGCCAAGGGAATTCTGAAAACGTTGGATATGAGTCAGTCCAAATGTCTAAAACATTACCTATCAGGGAAGAAGAAATCACAGCAGGGATTAAGTCCACTGGCTGTTCTATAGAACTGCCACACATCAGAGAGCAGTTCATAGCAGGTCCCGAGGCTCACCTGTGACAGGTGTCACGAGGAAAGGAAGTGCACACAGCCATCATCAATGGACTGCCCACCTGAGTGGGATTAAACAACTTCAGGGAAGTCAGACCGGTCTCTGGGGTCCGGAAGGAAGGTGCTACCACATAGCTGGCAAAGAGGTTGCTATGAGGCACCAATCTTAGAAACTGGTCCTCTGAGGGCTCCTTTTTAACTCAAAACAGCCTAATGCAGAAGCATTTAGGTCACATCCTTAAGAAGAAAGGATTGGGGACAGCACTAGCTGCTCTTCCAAAGGACCTAGGTTCAATTCCCAGCACCCACATGACAGCTCACAACTGTCTGGAGCTCTAGTCCCAGGGATCTGACACCTATTTCTGATCTCCTTGGTCATCAGGCACACATACGACACACAGACATGCAGTTACAATAACCATACAGATTTTTTAAAAATTAAAAAGAATGCAGCAATGGCTAGATAATTTGGGCTCAAAAGCCAAGGCCCAGAACTTGGGCTGTGCCAACTTCCAATTTTATGAGGCTGAACTTAAATAATGTATACAGTACTTAAGCCACACAAAGCTCTAACACTAAAGCTAAAACCTAAAATTATCTCTCTTTGCTGCCACCCCTCAAATTCTTTCAATCCATCCATCCTAAGTAAAAGGTGAGTGATTACACATGACTCTCCTAATTGAGGATTTAAAACCTCAGCCAGTCACTGCTCGTATTCACTGACCCACCCTCATAAGCCACTGATGCTCACTGATCCGAATACGTGCTACCCGTTCCTGCTGAACTAATTATATTTTCCCCAAATTAATCTACCAACTCCTTTCATTGAATCTGTTTCACTTGGGGGTGTCACTATGTGGCAGTTCCTGCCTAGAGTGGCTTTTCATTTTCTTCAATTTATTCAGGTAACTTATTTTATGTAGCTCAAATATTGCCTTTTCTGGAAACTTCTCGGGAAGACCAGGTGCCTGAAAGCAATCCATGTCAATGACAATATTTTCAGGAGCCTTACAGCAGATAACAAGAGTTTTCTGAGTCTCTGCTACATGCCAGAGACTGACAGAACAATGTGAGGGACACAATGGATTCAAGACAAGATGCCCTGCCCACCACTCTGCAGAGTTAGTAACTGTTTATTAAATTTGCAAGCTGTTAATGTCCTAAAGACATAGCTATGAAATACATTTTCTGGGCTATAAATGCTTAGTATGATCATCCCAAATCCTTAATTTTCAGTGTTGTTTCTTTGTGAGGTTTTTGTTTGTTTGTTTTGTTATTTTAAAGAAGCTATGAGCATATAAGGCTCACCTGCAAAACTTTTCACACTTGACTTGTCCAGCCGTGCTTCCTGTATAACCAATAAGAAGGAGCCCGTGGGAGGGAGTATGACCCAGGAAGTACAGCACACAGAGCACCCAGTGAGTCCTGTGTTCTCAGTCTTCACACATGACAACCACGGGTGCTCTTGCACAGTCTACTTCAGCATGCCACACTATTTTCAGGGTTTAAAGTCTGTACAGCAAGGTGGGGCTCAACTCTGCTACACAGATTTCAACATAGAAAAGCTGGATTTAAGCAATCCAATCGTAGTACATGAAATCTCTTTTCAGAACTAAGTCACTTCTGAGAAGCCTGTGTATGGTCTAATAAATAGTGTGTACTTGCTTTTTCATCATGGTACCCTGCTGTAAAATGATAGGCATTTCCTGGTTGTCAGACAAAAGGAAAAAGAATCACCTGCAGCATTAAGACTACTGTCTTCACTACATTCCACTGGGACTTCCTGCCATCCACGATCACGGTAAATCCTCTGGCCTTACATTTCTCACTGAAACAAAACACAATTATGGTTGTTAAACAGGGTCCACACTCTCCCCATAACCCTGACAGAAGAATGCAAAAGCTCTAAGACCAGGTGGGATACAAATCACCTCGCCTGGCCTGACCTACAATATCAACTGACAAAATTCTCCAGAGTACTCTTTCCATTTCCTAACATTATTTTCCTCACTTATGGAAGCATTAATGACAAACTAATTTGGAAGGAAAATACTCTAAAAACATGGTAAGTTAAGGTCTTAAAAAGTGACAAAATTGAAGTACCATTCCAACAGTACCAACAGTTTCTCAATTTCTCTATCTGTATATTGGGATCAAAGAGAGCCAGGTAACTACCACCTGCCATACACCTAATGCACTTCTTAACAGAATTTAGAATTTATAAGGAAACAGCTTAAAACAGGTGGAAAATAATAAGTTATTACTAACCCACTGGAGACTGGCTTCTTTGTGCACAGGAAATCTAACATGATGAGCTCATACTCGCTTTACAAACAGACTGAAAACTTGAAGGCCCCACCTCTAACCCATCATTGCTTTGATTTTCTTAGTCATCTGGCCAGCAAAATGCTATCTTCAGTATTGCGAAATGTGTTGTGTTGTATTGAATTATTTACTAAGTATAATGGCTGTTACACGGAAAAGTTCCATCCTAAAGAGAAAACTACATAGCTATACTTAATGCTATTATTATATACCTATAAACTTAATGCAAGGACCTCTACTGACCCCTCTCAGTACAGTGGGAGAAACTTTAGTCTTGCTTACCAGAGCAAGGGTGTGGGAGTGAAGGCAGTCCGGCCCAGAGTGCTGTCAATTACACCCATTATCAGAAAGGAAAACAGCTAGACTTCCCTGGGATTCCAACCTGGGAATCTACGAGATTCAAAGGCCCTTCCCTGTTCCCGCCCCCAGCACCCACATTGGCCACAAGGGTTAATTTAAATGTACATTAACTCTAGCATATATCTAACTAGAGAAGCAAAGTTCTCCTGAGGAACAATGAGAACTCCAAGAAGGAGGAGACAGAGCTCAGTATTTGGAAGAAGAACAGATCTTTGGTAGGCAAAGGCAGAAAGTGGGCTAAATAAGCCAAGATGTGTAGAGAGAGCCTTTTCCTTTCCAGTGGCTTTGGTTTTTTTCTCAGCAGTTGCCTAGGCTCTGCCGTGTTGTAGTCCCCAAATAATACACAAGACGCTGTAATAATTATGAAGCTATCTCTGACTTAAGTATTTACCCCATAACTGCCAATCTAAGTATTTCTCTTACCAGAAAAATGTTTCCGGGCTTCTTACCCCTATGGCGGTTACATCTTGACTCCCTGTGTTTCTCCTACCCAGAATCCTCCTGGACTGCTAGTCCTACCTATCTTGCTTCCCTATTGGCCAACAGTTCTTTATTGACATATGCACAGGGCTTCCCCAACAAAAATGTATCCCAAAAATAATGCCAATTGAAGCACCTGACCACACAAGAATGTGAACATAAATATGACAATAGCAAGAGTTCTGATAGTAAAAAGTAGAAATCCCATGTCCACCAACTGCTAAACAGGAAAACAGACAATATAGCCACATCAAACATTACTGTTCAACAGTCGACATACACCAACACAGATAACCTCTGAATATCATGCTAAAAAGCCAGACTTGAGCACCAGAAGCTGTTTATTTCTTTTGTACAAAATGAACAGCGCAGTGGCTTAGTGGCTGACTGAAGCAGGTGATAAGGGAGAAGCGTGGAGGGACTGATAACGTATAGAGACTCTTTTGGACAGATGAAAACTATTTGTAGTTAGCGTGATTACAGAACCCTGTGGCTATACTACAAATCCCTGAACTGCATACTTCATTAAAATGATATTTTATGACTAGTGAGATTTGATTGGAGATGTCCTTCTGTGTATATGTTTCTTTTATTGGTTAATGAATAAAACACTGTCTGGCCAATGAGGCAGGAAGATAGGTGGGACTACGATGAGGAGAATTCTGGGAAAGAGAAGCAAAGAGAGTCCGCCAAACATAATCATCATGTAAGCTACCAAGAGAAAAATAAGTCCAGAACTTTCTCTGGTAAGATAAGACCACATAGAAATTCTTAAATTAGTAGTTATGGGCTAATAAGACAGAGCTAGCCAATAAGAAGCCCTAGACACCGGTCAACAGTTTTGTAATTAACGAAAATCTCTGTGTGCTTATTTGGGGTTGAGGTGGCTGCAGGACCAGGCTGGCAGGAAAGAATCTCTGCCTACAGAGATTTGTTTTAAAAATTTAAGTATTCAATGTTGGGATCTACATTGGAACAAAAAAGGATCTTCTCCATGTTTCCGTGGGACAGAAGAGAGTACAATATATGCTTGTGACTAGGTTTACAATAGCACATAAACACTTGCGGGGGGGGCGGGACAAACAAGATATATATATGGCTACAAGCCCAGAAAGGCTGGTCAAGACAGGGGAGTTGGATGCTAAGCGACCTCTGGAGAAAAGCAAGAACTTAGGGTTTCCTAATGCTAAGAAGTTTGTAATGATATAGTATTTATGATTTATTAAAGCTTAACTGAGGATTCAGAAAAGCAAAAACAATCTCAAGCTATAGAGATCAGGCAGTGGACATACACACCTTTAATCCCAGCAGCCAGAAGCTATGAGGTGGTGGTACACAATCCTGGGACTCAGGATTAAGAGGTAGATGGATCTCTGAAAGTCCAAGGCCACCCAGATCCACACAAGGCTGAATAAGTCTAAAAGAAAATTATAGCTCACACCTTCAGCCCCAGCACTAGAGGGGTATAAAACACGGGAGGAGCAAATAGTCAGTAGGAGGCATTCATTCTCCAGCCACACTGAGGAAAGGTTATATGCTGAGGCTTGGTGAGAGCTCCTGAAGACAGGATCAGTCCATTCAGTCTGAGGTAGAGGTAAGAAGCTAGTGGCCAGCTGCTTTGCTTTTCTGATATTCAGCTTGAAGTTTGAACCCCAATATCAGTCTCTGGGACATTTACTTATTGTGTTACAGAAGTTTGCAAGAAATGAAGCCAGTGTGGGTCTGCTACTCAAAGACATACACCATTCCCAACATTTGGTGTTTTTTTATTAGTATCTATAACCCTGAGATGTAGGCCACACAATCATTTTTTTAAATATGTTTTCAAAAAAGTAACACATTTGCCGGGCGGTGGTGGTGCACGCCTTTAATCCCAGCACTCGGGAGGCAGAGGCAGGCGGGTCTCTGTGAGTTCCAGGCCAGGCTGGTCAGACAGCCTCCAAAACAATACAGAGAAACTCTGTCTCATAAAATAAAAATAATTTATGTTTCAATGCATATTATAAATTAATCCGCAGGTTAATACTGTGAAAGCGATGAAGCTTGCAAATGCCATCTGTAACGATCTTAGGATAAAACACTCAATCTTCTAGCATACTTAGAAAGACCCTTAGCTTTAATTTTCTTACATTTTCCACTAAAATAGAAAATGAAAATATTCACAACCCAAAGATACTATTTCAAAACTGCCAACCAGTGGTATCTCACATGCTTTACAAAGGGCATGTATGGGTCTAGAGTGCTATAAATAAGATTCCTAAGACCAATGGAATTGAATTGAAAATCCGGGTATCAACCCACAAACGTACGAACATCTGATCTTTGACAAAGAAGCTAAAAATATACAATGGAATAAAGAAAGCATCTTCAACAAATGGTGCTGGCATAATTGGAGACTGGCATGTAGAAGAATGCAGATCGATCCATGTTTATCGCCATGCACAAAACTTAAGTCCAAATGGATCAAAGACCTCAACATAAATCCAGCCACACTGAACCTCTTAGAAGAGAAAGTGGGTGGTACCCTTGAACGAATGGGTACAGGAGACAGCTTCCTGAACATAACACCAGTAGCACAGACAGTGAGATCAACAATTAATAAATGGGACCTACTGAAACTGAGAAGCTTCTGTAAGGCAAAGGACACAGTCAGCAAGACAAAAAGGCAGCCCACAGAATAGGAAAAAATATTCACTAATCCCACATCTGACAGAGGGTTGATCTCCAAAATTTACAAAGAACTCAAGAAGCAAGTCTCCAAAACACCAAAGGACCCTATTAAAAAGTGGGCTGCAGAACTAAATAGAGAGTTTTCAATAGAGGAGTCTAAAATGGCTGAGAGGCACTTGAGAAAGTGCTCAACATCCTTAGCCATCCGGGAAATGCAAATCAAAACAACTCTCAGATACCATCTCACTCCTGTCAGAATGGCTAAAATCAAAAACACCAATGACAATTTATGCTGGAGAGGATGTGGTGAAAGGGGGACACTCCTCCATTGCTGGTGGGAGTGCCAACTGGTTCAGCCACTTTGGAAATCAGTATGGAGATTCCTCAGAAAAATGGGAATAAACCTACCACAAGACCCAGCAACTCCACTCTTAGGCATATATCCAAAAGATGCCCATTCATACAACAAAGATGTCTGTTCCGCTATGTTCATAGCAGCTTTATTTGTAATTGCCAGAACTTGGAAGCAACCTAGATGTCCCTCACCTGAAGAGTGGATAGAGAAAATGTGGTACATCTAAACAATGGAGTACTATTCAGCAGAAAAAAATAATGGAATCATGAGATTCACAGGCAAATGGATGACACTAGAAGAAACCATCCTGAGTGAGGTAACCCAGTCACAAAAAGAGAAACATGGCATGTACTCTCTCATATATGGATTTTAGACATAGATCTGGGGAGTGCCAGCCTACAATCCTATGGCCAGAGAGTCTGGGAAACAGAAACTTTATTTAGTGGCTGATCGAAGAAGAGGCCTTGGTTAAGTACTGAGCTGAACTCAAGAAAGCCAGTAACAGAGAGGGAGGACTGATGGTCAAAGGGATTAAGACTAGGCTGGTTTAACCCCCAGAAACAGCTGACCAGACAAAGGTTAACTCTTGAATCCCAGGCATCAGCCTGGGAAGCCAGCATGGGACTGATCAAGACCACCTGAATCTGGGTGTCAGTGAAGAGGCCTAGGGAATCTATTGAGCCCTGGGCAGCAGATCAGTACCCATCCCAAGTATACACACGGACTTTGGACTCCCTTAGAACAATGTGAGGTGCACTCTCACCCTGAACTCTTGGGGAAGGGTCTAGGCCCTGCCCTATATGAAATGACAGACTATGCACACCCCCATGGAGGGCCTCACCCTCCCTGGGGAAATGAGGGGATAACGGGGGGGGGGAGGGCACGGGAGGAAGGGAGGGAATGGGAGAGGGACCTGGAACTGACTTGTGAAGCAACCTTGTTTCTTATCTAAATTTAAACTGGAAAATAAAATTTAAAAAAAAAAAAGAAAAAAAATAAGATTCCTAAACCTTGAATTAAAGACAAAGAAAAAACTGCGAGCCCCCAACTCCTCAGAGCCTTTCAGGGTAACAAGGCTCAGTACAACAGCTCTGTAAAAGAAACGTAGAAATGAAATACCCTCACTTGTGACCCATGAAGGCCTTTTGAGGGATGTCTAGGGTCCGTGCAGATGCTCATAACTATTTCTTGACATTATCTAAGGGCTCTTCTTTTGCTCAAAGTTCTGCTGACACATTTCAGTTCTGGCTTGAGTATGCTTTTATTATAATGCTGTGTGTGGAATCCATCTTCATCAGAGAACATGCCTGCAGAATATCAGAACATTTATCGTCTAAGACTGCTAACTCCTAGTCCAACACTTAGTAGACCTTTTAAAATGTGTGAAGACGTTCTGATAATGCCTAAGTCAGAATACAATGGCAGTATTCCTATGTTGAGATGAAGCCCAGACCATTTTTCTCCACGGACCCCAGCCTCTTCTCTTACCACCATCGGAGCACTGTGTTCCTCTTCCAAAGTGACTGCTGTACCCCCAGGAATGCTACATCGACTCCTTTGCCCATGGCAGTGTTCTTTGGTCGGGTATTTTAGGGCCAGACACTCACTTGCATCATTTGGTAAAGTGTTACCTCACCGTTTTGTACACTCTCACTGGCTCTCTTAAGGCTTTATGCATGCTTTCTTAGCACGTGAATGCCTCACACATGAGTATGTGTTTGTGACATTGGTGTGCCTGATCCTTAGGAGTGCTGGCCACTGATCAGCTTTATTCCCTACTTGTTCAACTCCCATAAAACCAAGGCACCCCCACAGGCTCGCACAGTCACCAAGCAACAGAAATTTGCAGCCTTAATGTCTTTGTGCCTTGCACTACCCCTGAAATCCCTTCCTTTGGAAGTTTCTTCTGCAACACTAGTGCTCCCACAAGTAGAAAAAAAATGATTTAAAATCAAAACTTGAATTTTTTAATTATCAAAATTTGACAAATGTAGCAAGGTAATTTGTGAGTTTCTACTAGGAATGACATGAGCAATTCCTGGGGGGCATTCCATGAAAAGACCTGGGTTGTGAAGCCAGAGGACAGCTTCTGGGGGTTTCTAACCCTGACATTGTCTGCCACAGTCAGTAAATCCTTTTTGAACTAGAAAATACCATGATTTTAAGTACTGTCAATTTCTAAGTCTCTTTTGCAAGGTGTACAAGATTTCTTTTAGAATATGATAATTCAGTTATTTTCATGACAATTATCAGTTGTGGCAATTCCAAGTTTTATGAGAATTTACTAGAAATTATGAAGATATGACTGCGATCCTAACAGAGGTAGCTACCGCACAGAGAGAAGAGACACAGCTGTGGAACACTGGCAAGCTGGAGCCCACCTGTTCCTCCGAATCTCTCATTCTGGTTGGCCAAGCTGCCTGAGCTAACCCTTTCTATGCTTCAGTTCCCCCATAGGACAGAGAAGAGGGACCAGAGCTCCTCTCAGAGCAGCAGGAGAATTAAATGGCTGAACACGCCGGGTGGTGGTGGTGCACGTCTTTAATCCCAGCGCTGGGGAAGCAGAGGCAGGCGGATCTCTGTGAGTTCGAGGCCGGGCTGGAGGACCGACAGCCTCCAAAACAATACAGAGAAACCCTGTCTCATAAAACCAAAAAAAAAAAAAAATGGCTGAACACTACCTATTGTCTCCTTAGATGTGGGGTATTCTTTTCATATCTACCACCCAATCCCCGCCCACAGGTCAAATCTGGAGTCTACTATGATTAAAATTTTATAACAAGGGTCAAAACAACCACAAGTCTGCTCCAAACAATCACTGTGCTCACAACTTTTACATTTTCTTAGGTTTTTTTTTTTTTTTTTGACAAATGTAAGTCCCTGAGAATAGTTAGTTAGCAGGTCCTACAAGTCCACATAGGTGTACCCACAGCTCTGAGGAAATAAAGCCACCAGGAAGACAAAGGTAGAAACAGGTGCTGAACACTGAGTAAGGATGACATATTACACAGCACAGAGCTGTGAAAATGCAAATTATAACACAGACTCCCCTCTAGAGTGTCCATCTTAGAATGTGGAAAGATGGAAACAAAGTTCTTTAGTGTCTACTTTATATTCACAGACATGAATCTATTACTAGTGAGAGAGCGTAAACCTTGGAAAACTTAAAAAGAACTAGATAATACTTGTAAAAATTGAAGAATTACCTTTAAGCACATCACTAAATTTGTAATATGTATGCATAAGAGAGACAAGAGACTAAGCAGCTCTCTTCAGCTGTTTTGCTTTCCAGCACATGTGAGTGAGCACATGTGAGAAGCCTTCATTTCCAGCATCTGACCTCCTGCGTGCACGCCCCGAGTGAGCACATGCGAGAAACCATGAGCTGATTGGCTGTGCCTTCACTCAACCTTAGCTACTCTTGCAGGGTAGCCTCCCGGTGTGCTCAGTGTAACTGCACAGGTCTATGGTTCGTCACAGCAGCCTCATCACAGGTGAACACATCTTTTGGAACTCAGCCTCAAAGACATGTGTCAGTGTTGGAGATGCATTCATTGAAAAGTAATATGTAGGCCTCTAAATCCTGCCTCGCCCATTTTTATTATATTTTATTTACCCTACCAACCCTTTTGGATCAGTGCGAGAAATAGCAGGGCTACAATCTGCATGAAAGCCCTGCAGGGGACCTGGAGAAAAGCTAAGGTTTAATAGCGTGAACCGCCAACAGAGACCACTGGTGAAGGTGCAGTCTCCACTGTAGTGGAGACCCCAGAACCATGGGGTAACCACCAGAGGGCAGTGGCAGGTATGGTGTGGAGCCGGTCTTGGCATGAACCTACCAGACAAGCTGTGCATACTACAGATGGCAGAGCAGGAGAGGTGGGGCACCTGTCTTTGAAGGCCAGAAGAGGAAGGCAGATCCCCTAGAGTTACAGGTGTTTATGAGTTACCTCCTGTGAGTGCCAGGAGCTGAAATCAGTACTCCCAACTGCCAAGCCATCTCTCAAGTAACAAGTAGACTTAAGCAAACAGGAATATTTGAGATGTTTCTTTATTCAATAACCATGAATATTAAAAACTCAGGGACCTATAACTTAAATTATGTACATGTATTGGTATTTTTAAAATAAAAATATTTAAAGACTAACAGTCTTCATTCATTTTAGACTATAACCAAATATGTCAAATAGTAAACTAAAACAAAGATGAGCTCATGTAGATAAGTGCGCTCTCTCTCTCCCTCCCTCTCTCCCTCCCTCCCTCCCTCCCTCTCTCTCTCTCCCTCCCTCTCCCTCTCTCTTTCTCTCCCTCTCCCCCCCCACGTGTGTGTGGGGCAGTAAACATTTATGCAGGTGTATATATTGTGTGCACATGGAGGCCAGAGGGGGACATCAGGTGTCCAGCTCCTATCACTCACTAAATGAGCCTGAACCTTGGCTGACAGCCAACAAGTCTTAGTGATCTTCCTGTCTCTGCCATTCACAGAGGGTTATAGGATACACGATACTTCAACAGCAAGAATCAATAGGAAACAATATTGAAATGTAAGAAAAAGACACCTTTAGAGTCACCTTGGAATGCTGAGTAGATAGTCCAAAGTGACACTCAGCTCATCCATGTTTGTCTGTTCAAGGCATAACGGAATTGTCAAGATGAGTCCACTGCGTCTGTCCTTCCCTCCTACAAAAAAGATACATTTAAGATTTACCAGACATTTTTCTTCCTTTTTCTCAACCATCCAGCTTTATATTTTGAGACAATATTTTTTTCACATGGACCAGGAATTTTCTCCTTAGAATGCAAGGGTTGGTCAGTAAATGTAAAAACAAAACAAAAACAAAAACAAAACAAGAAATAAAAATCTAAAATTGTCTCACTAACACGAAGTTTACAAACACAATTCACCACACTTATTTCTTCACATTGGTGCTGGAGAATCAATTAAAAGAGTTATCAGCATGTTCTTTCATAGTCTACTCTGTTATTTATGATTTATTAAATTTCTCAATGGAGTTTTATTGAAATCATAGACTTAACATGAAATTTTATTTAAAAAAGAAGATACCATTATAAGCACAAACTATGAGGGTTTTACCCCCATGAATAGACATGTTCAAATCATCCCACTTGGTTAGGATTTTGCATAATAAAAATGAGAATATTTTTAAATTTTAGAGCATTATTGAATATTCTACATTATCTTATTATCTTTTAAATATACATAATTGTATATTTGATAAGGCTTCTAGTAGCCAACATCACTTCTAATAGACAATTGATTTTTCTGACTGTTACAGTATAGCAACTCTTAGATATTATGAAGTTACAATATGAAGATTTACCAGATATTAAGATGTCATATGAATAACATTTTAACCCAATGTTACTAAAACAATTACAGGTTTGGAACAGTTTGCAAAATATCTAATGGCTATCTGCAGTTTATAAATGCTTATAATAGTAAAGGCAAAAAAAACAAAAATTCAGAAGAAAATGCATCTATGAAATCTTCATCCAAACCAAAATCATTTTAATTTTCTTCAATTTAGGCTGCTGCCTAGTTGAATCAACTCATCAAACACTTCCTGTGTGCCTAGTACAATCAGTGCTTGCAACAAATTTGCATCTGGAAAGAAAAGCTTTAAGTCATAATAACAGTGTGAATTACGGTCACTAATTTGCTATACTGTGTCTTCATATAAAATCCATTAAAATGCTATAAAAAGGGATTGAGAAGATAAAGAAAATGATTTTTTTAAAAAGCTGTTGTATGTATAAGAAAAGACTTGAGGGAAAACTTGCAGAAGTTTTAAAACCAAGTTAAAAAAACAGACAGCCTGAGTTCACTCACAGAGATGTGGACCTGTGTGTGATATGGAAAGCAATGGAAGACTCATCTCCTACGTGATAGATCGATCAGGAGCAAGTAGCACACTCAGTTACTGCAGTGTACAGCAGGACAGACAGATGCAGACTGTTCAGATGGCAATGAAGGCACACCCTGCCCAGCTGAGAACGTGAAGCAGCGCTGGGGTTACAGCAGAAGCAGGGAGTGGAGCACACTGAAATGGCAGGTGGTTTAAGTCCTTGTCCTGTTGCCCCAAGGTAAAATGAAACTTCTGAGGCAGCCTGATGGCACGCGCTTGCAATCTAAGCACTCAAGAGGCAAAGGCAGGAAGACAGATGGCAAGTTCAACGCCAGTCTGAAGTACAAAGTGAGATCTTCACACAGCCAAGGACCGTGGACACAGTGTAGTAAAAGCACTGAGTTCAATTCCCAGCATGGCAAAGGAAACAAGCAGACGTTAGAACTCTTATTACCACCTTTCAAAATTCTGCTTGATTCACACTGAAGCCTACTGTCAGAACCAAGTGACATTTACAATCGTTTTAGAAGCATATAAAAGACAGCAAATCCCGAAGAAAACAATTCTGTATAATCTCTAGCAATTCATCACTGAAAAGCCTGAGGTGAAAAAGACTTCCATTAGTGACAGAAATGTGATTCGTGGCATGACAGCCATAAAGGACTATTTTCTATGCAACTGTTGATATTGAGCTACTGTGTCTAACATCAATAAACTGCAATTTTGTAGGGCTCGACCTAATACACAGTGACTCAATAGCATTTTTGTCAATTAGGATATAGGCTTTATTTTTTAATAGATTACACAGGTGATTTCCAAGTGATAGTAGCCCTTGGGTAATTCTGTTGGTTTGAAAATTTTTTTTAAAAAGTTTGACAATAACTGGTTTTAACTACTAATGGTCAAGAGATAAAATTTTAAAAGTGGGCAAGTGAACTTTCTGTTTTGCTTTGTTCAGACAGATATCTGTATATAGCCCTGACCATCCTGGAATTCTCTATGTAGACCTGGCCTCAAACTCAGAAACCTACTTGCCTCTCCTTCCAGAATCCTGGGATTAAAGTGTACAGCACCATGCCTGGCTTGGCAAGGGAACTGTCATTTGCTCTTCAAAACTGAGAAGCTTCACTATGCATTTAAACTAAACACACAAGAGTTCGCACTTAGACTATAGGTGCCATCTAAACCACTCTGAAATTTTCTTCAAGACTACACTACACTGAACTGCACACCCTCAGCTTTTACTGGGGTAAGGGACTGACCACTGGTGTAAAAGTGGAAGGGAACAAAGGCCTTCACCACAGCTATGGTGAGTGGAGTAAATGATGCCCACGACAATGCTATAAGACATAAATGTTATTGAAAAGAGCAGCAGCCACAACTGGCAGCAGTGTAGGAGGACAGGCATTCCAATTTGCAGAAGCAATGAATATTAACGCAGTCTTCCTCGAGGATTTCAATATGCAGAAGCAATGAATATCAAAACAGTCTTCCTCGAGGATATCTGGCACACCAAAGCACATCAAGGCAGTTGGTATGTTTGGTTGGTTGTTTTTGCTGTTGTTTTTGGTTTTGCTGTTGTTGTTTGCTATTATTTGAGACTGAATCTCCTATAGCACAAAGTGATCTCAAGCTTTTGATCCTCCTGCCTCAGCCTTCTGAGTGCTGGGATTACAGAGGTGCAGGCCAATTTACAAATCCTTCTAGTCTGCTCAGCATTTCCAGTTATAAGAATTTACAGTATTGAACAAGCATTATGAAATTCACAAGGCTACAAATACAAATGCTAGTAATATCATTTATATTAGAACACCATGAAGACAATAAAAATGCCAACTGATAACACAAGTTTAAAAAAGGAAATTCATATTAAATTAAGAGTAACAACATCAGTAGAATTCAGCTTCTTTTCAACTTTACAATCTTCATCAGGAAAACACGTCAACTTACATAGACACATAGATGTTTGGGTTTAAAAATGAAATCAGAATTATCAAGACAGTGACAAGAGCTCAGGGAACTAGGGAAGAAAAAATGAAGATACTATAGTCTGAGTAACCCTAAACAGGCAGGGCCACGGAGTCCACAGTCTCTCTGGATATATTCAATTATTCAGATTCCAAAGTCACTGGCCATAATAAACCACACCATAGCGCCAAAGCAGCAGATGGTCCTCCATCTTCACCTTAAATCATCTTAGTGGACACATACTTCTTGTTAATAACTTTAAGCACATTCAAGTCTGTATGGAGAACAGCAGAGGAGGCATTTTGTGACTCTACAAGCGCAGTGAAAGCTTCCCTAAGAACGATGGAAGACAGATTCTTAGAGAGAAGGAATCAGAACTGGTCACTCCAGCAACATCTGCTGAAATGCTAATCTGTCATCACTAATTACTCAAATTTTACTTCAGAAGTGAGAAGTCGTGATTTCATTAGTGTAGTGGTCAAGTCAGTAAAACCACAGAACAGAATAAAAACCAGATCATGAGGAACCAGCAGTGATGGATCACAGCAACCCATTAAAGAAATGACTTAAAAAATAAAACTTTCCAAAAGAAACTTTGTTAGCCTCTTAGTTAAAGCAACCAAAAAAGCTCACACTGGAGACTTCAGGGGCAGCACACATACCTGAAAGGAAGGCCAGCTTTTTCTTTAGGATGGGCAGTATCACTGAGGCCTCCATTTCACTCCAGCAAAAGTCCTTGCCTCTGAAAAATAGTGAAATGTCAACTACAACACAACAATTAGTCTAGCTCATATTCGTGATGGTTTATCAAGGTAACTCTCTTATTTGTCTTCATCCCCCCACCCACAGCCGCCGCAGGGAGCTGCAGTGTAGTGATCTCTCTCTGCTCTTCACCCACAAAATACCAGCCACATCCCCACCCCCACCTGTGACAACCAACCTACGTCTAGACATTGCCAAACATGTTTTAGTACGCAAAGCTGCAGCTGGCTAAAAACCAATGGCTGAAGTGTTTTTCAGAGCAATACTCCTAGGCCAGCATACTACTGTAGACAGCAATGGCTCAAAAATTACTTCAATTATTTTATTAATCCATCAAGTAGGTAGTCAATCTTCCATTGCTTTCCACATTACACAGCTGGTTCAAATAGCTGATTCCCTCTGCAGCAGTATTAACAGCATTCTCTAACTTCCCATGTTCCCCTCATCCATAACATCTCAGAACAGGCTAGAAACTCTATTTACTTCAAGGTGCTTCTCAACAAAGTCTTGGTTACTAGTTTCATCTTTCCACATTTCAGTTTTAAATTCTTCTGGGGGGGGATCTATTTATTAGCTGACTTCATTTCTTTTGCTTTGTTGTGACTATTGTTGTTTTTATTTGAGCCAGGGTGTCTCTCTCTCTCTCTGTAGCTCTGGAACTCATTATGTAGCTCAGGCTGGCCCCGACCTGTCCCATCCCTCCTGTCAGCCTCCTGAGTGCTGGACTGAGTTTCTCCTTTAGGACCAGCCACAAGTTACTGTTTGATTTTCCAGAGGCCACTCAGTCACAGCCAGGGTTGTGGCTACCTACAAAAAGGGAATGCTCCCCAGTCAGTGCTGGGAACAAGACAGTTCTCCTTAAATGGAGACTTTGGCAGGGCAGGCGTTCCGAGACCTGGCCAGCCCTCTGTACTACTAAACAGGAGCTGAGGAAAGCAGGAGCTTTAGAAAACGAAAAGCTACATCTCAACTCTACTGCCCTCTCCCACTGAACTGCACGTCTGGGCGAGAACTTCCCCATCACTCCATCCTTTCCTTCTCCACAGCAGCTCACCCCACTCGGCACCGGGCAGGCAAGTCCTGGACAGTACTGTGAGAACCCAGTGAGAGCTGCTCTCTGCAAAACAAGTTTCCGGAGTAGAAAAATGACTCTCTGGATTACATGTCCAGCCAGTCCTACCATGAGCCCATCACGTTTCAGCCACTGTGCTGTCAGCTGGGACGAAGCATTCAAGTTGTAGCCATGCCCTGCTAAAACACACTTTTTAAAGGATCACATATTTGAAAAAGAAAAACATGTATAGTCGGCAGATAATGGCTAATTAGGCAAGGCTAATTAAGCCAGTGAAGTACTTTATAGGCTTTGTGGTTAAGAGAAAAACAAAAACAAAAAATACCGCCAGTATTCTACCTGCCTACAAAGAAAACAACCTGTCAAACTAATTGATATGTCCTTAAGTTTTACTCCCTAAACAGTTTTAATTTGTTCTTTTCTTGTTATTCTATATTAGCCCAGCTGACAGAAGGGAGTTCACACAAGCTCACAGTTTTACATCCTAATAGAAAACCTATAGCTTTTCATGTTTCTAAATCAATACTGCAGTTTGATCAGTTTTTATCAGCTGAACAAGAACCCAGAAAATTTGCTGGGGCCCTAACCTGACATTTGACAATGTTGCTAATAATGATTATGTTAATCAACACTGACCTTACAATCAAGCATTTCTTACAAACTTTGCCCTGTAATGACTTCTAGTGTTGACTTCTGTTCCTAGTATTTGAGGTAAGAGCTAGCTGCTCCAACATCACACAGCTAGTGAGTGTGGAAGCTGGGACTCAGAAGCAGGCACTCTGGTTCCATCAAGGCCACGTTCATAATATGCTATCAGCTTACCAATCAACAGCCCTGACAATATAGTGACATTTAGGCAATTAATCACCAAACCTGTCTAGACTGGATGCAAATAGCAGATGTGCAGCAAAACAGAACACGTATCTTCAGTCTTTGTCCTTGGAATTTCCTGAGTGACAGAAGGGAGTATCTTTTGTCACTACTAACGTGCCCCTTCCTATCACTCCCATGCTAATAGAGCAAATTATGGTGGAGCCTCCATAAGTTCAAGGGGAAGCCTGAACTGCCATCACACTCCCCAAAACCCTGAGGAGGGGAGGGGAAACACACACTCAATAAATCACCCGTGTCCTATCATCTAATGAACCATGACTACACAGTAAGACACCTGCTAGCCAGGTGCTGAGCACGCAGGTCCAGAGAGGGTAACGCACTAGACAAGGCTGCAGTTCTGAAACCCTCCATACTTTACCACATGTGTGCCATCTATTCGGTTACTCCTGGACTGTGTCACTCATTATCATCAAGGAAAAGGTTGTCCTCGGTCCTGAGTCCTTCTAGTGATTTACCAACCCCTCCACAGTGCTGAGAAGCCTTCATCTAGGCCTACAAGCAGAAGTAGCCTGAGACCCAATGCCTGCTCTGGCATCCAAACTGAGGTCAGTCAAGTGAGATTCAGTCTTTAAACTTAAGAGTTTGACACTAACTCTTGAACTTAGTGTGAAATTGAAGTGAAGTGGACAGCAGACAGTGCTCAGAGAACTGATTATGAGGGGAAATCCCTCATATCTAGTGTCAGAAGTACTTGGTAAAGACAGCTTTATGTATGGACAAACCATAGGAGGGGAAAATGGCACCTCCTACAAGAAGTAAGCTTGATCTCTCTGGAAACTAGAAGCAAAGAGCTGCTGAGACAGGCGTCTGTAAGATGTTCCCCAGGGCAAGAACAGCCTCAAGATCCCTGCGTCACACAGTAAAACTAGTTTCCTAACCAGGTTGGTCCTATCTGGTTGGAAGCACAGGTTCTGGGCTGCTTTCAACTCCTTCTGGTTCTAAGGCCTACTTTTCCATGCTTCTCATCAATTCCACACTGTACAACACTTTCCCAGTAAATTCTTTTTTTCTGCTTAGGTCAGCAGGAGTAGTCTTTCAGTGAAGGGGACCGTGACTGGACTAGGGAACACTGCAATTCAGCACTTCACAGTGTCTCTCATCACTTCCTGCTTTATTTACACAATGTGTTGTCAGGGCTAGTGAGATGGCTCGGTGACCAAGAGTATTGACTGCTCTCCCAGAGGACTGTGTTTGGTTCCCAGCATCTACATGGCAGCTCACAATGGTTTGTAACTTCAGTCCAGGACAGGCGCCCTCTTCTGGCCTCCCTGAGCACCAGGTGCAAAGATAAAATGTAGGCAAAATACTCACACACATAAAATATTGAAAGCATTAAAAAAGATCAGTCAATGCATGGAGGATTTGACCCTGCCAAGGCAAGGGTCTTGGAGCTACAGCTACAGGGAGCTATCAGCTGCCTGGTGTTGGTGCTAGGAAATGAACCTGGTCTTCCAGGAGACAAGACTATCTGGTCTCCTGAGACCCCACTAGGCACAAGAAACAATGACTACAGAAGACCACGGGGATATAGACTATTGCTGGAGCTTTGCAAGCCAGGTTATGGATTTTATGCCAATTAATACCAAAGTTTAGTTGTTTACCACTGAGTTTTCCTGTACTCAGAGAAGCAAATGTGAATTTCCATCTTGTGTTCTAGGCTCACCCTGGCAGGCTGGTCCTGAGGCAGCCCTCTGTCTTCTCCCTATCTCCTCAGAAGCAGTTGAATCTCCTCTACAGTGTGGCAAAGGACTAGTGGTTTTTACCCAACAGCTTTTTTGTTAGTTTTGGGTCATGTTGGAAATGGCAAAGAGCAATGGAAGAAATACACATTTGAGGGCACATGGGCCATAATCAGATACAGCAAAGTCTAAAAAGTGAAGCCGTGGAGAAAGCCTCCTTCTACCAATCTCTTCCACTGCTGCCACTACCGAAATGAGCAACAAAAATGGTAGTGACTGTATCTTCACTTTAGTCCTTCAAGTTATGGCTTAGGGACCAGAGAGATGGTTCAGCCCCCAAGAGTCTTACTGTTCTTCCAGAAGACCCAGGTTCAGTTCCCAGCACCCACATCAGACAGCTGATAGCTCCCTGTAACTGTAACTCCAAGGAATCTGATGCCCTCTTCTGGCCTATAGCACAAATTCTAGTTGGTCTTAATAATAAAAACCCAGAGACAGATATTGGGGTGAAAGCTGAAGATCAGAGAAGCAAAGCAGGCAGCCACTTGAGAGTTCTCACCTCTACCAATGCTCACACCAAAAGGGCAATCCTGTCCTCAGACTGCTCCCAACTGCATCTGTCTACACCTGCAATGAACTCTGTCTCCTCCTGCCTTATCTCTCTAGTGCTGGGATTAAAGGTGTGGGATTCCAAATGCTGAGGTAACCTTTGTGGGAGCTCTGTTTCTCTTTTAGACTGGATTGATTTCATATAGCTCAGGGTGGCCTTGAACTAACAGGGATCCATCTGCCTGTTTCCCAAGTGCTGGGATTAACGGTGTATGCCACCACTGCCTGGCCTCTGTAGCCAGCTAGTGTGGCTAGCTTAGAACTCTGATATTCAGGCAAACTTTGTTATAGCATAAAAAAAATCACCACACTGGCCTCCATGGCATTCACTGGTATAGACACACACGTAACATATAAATCTTTTTTAAATTGTTATGGCTTAGCTTTTCAAGTGTTTACAGAACAATTTTTTTAAATTTGCTTCTCTGGGTTATGTTACTTCCTTGTAGAAGACTTCAATTATGTATGAAGTACAGAAAATAAGGCAAAGCTCTTATAAAAGAAACCTCCAGAATGAGATATTAGATGAGGCAGGGACACCAGCTCCTGTCTCTCCACAGGGGCAAACACAAGCATTGTTTTTCACAAGAAAGATTGCTCACTCCAAACATATGAGTGAGTCATATTCTCAACCCAAGAGTAAAGCCAGCAAGGGATAGTACACTGGTGTGACAACGAAAACTAGCTAGGAAGAAGACCTTTCTAAAATTTGCCAAGTAAAGTAGA